AATATGGTATGGACTATGAGGAGACATTTGCCGCGATTGCAAAAATAACTACTATTCCTACTCTTATTGTCGTAGCTTCAATTCGTCAGTGGCATATTTCTCAGCTTGATGTTAAAAATGCCTTCTTGAATGGAGATCTTCAAGAAGAAGTTTATATGGCTTCTCCTCCTGGTATTTCACATGACTCTGGATATGTTTGTAAGTTTAAGAAAGCATTATATGGTCTCAAACAAGCACCTTGTGCTTGGTTTGAGAAATTCTCTGTTAAGATCTCATCTCTTGGATTTGTCTCTAGTTGTCATGGTTATATTTTTTTACTATGTACACTAATGTATGTCATATCATTGTGTGTTTATATATTATTGATATGATTATTACTAGAAATAACAATAATGGTATTTCAGTTTTGAAGACAGAGTTGACTAGATAGTTTAAAATGAAGGATTTTGGTTATTTTTTATATTTTCTATATATTAAGGTAGCTTACTGACGCAACTAAAAGATTGATGTCTTCTCTTAAGTGCAGAAGTGTCGAAATAATAAATAATCCGGCAAGACTAGGGTCGAACCATAGAGAGATTAATTATATAAATTATTATTAAGGTTAACGCAATGTACTCTTTTTCTGATGGTTTGCCTTTGATAGATCCTATTTTATACCGCACTATTGTTGGGAGTTTGGTATATCTTACAATTACTCGTCTAGATATTGCATATGTTGTTCATGTTGTTAGTCAGTTTGTTGCTTCTCCTACTACTGTTCACTGGGCAGTTGTTCTTTGTATTTTACGATATCTTTGAGGTATAATTTTTCAGAGTCTTTTATTTTCATCCACCTCTTCCTTGGAGTTGCGTGCATACTCTGATGCTGATCATGGTAGTGATACCACAGATCACAAATCTGTTACCGGGTTCTGTATCTTTTTAGGTGATTCTCTTATTTCTTGGAAGAGCAAGAAACAATCTATTGTTTCTCAATCATCCACTGAAGCAGAATATCGTGCAATGACATCTATTATGAAAGAGATTGTTTGGTTACGTTGGTTACTTACTGATATGGGAGTTTCCTTTTCTCATCCTACTCCTATATATTGTGACAACCAGAGTTCTATTCAGATTACTCATAACTCGGTTTTTCATGAGCGAACTAAGCATATTGAGATCGATTGTCATCTTACTCGTCATCATCTCAAACATGACACCATTGCTTTGCCTTTTGTTCCTTCTTCCCTGCATATTGCATATTTCTTTACCTAGGTGCATTCCACCTCTCGTTTTTGTTTTCTGGTTGGCAAACTCACGATGCGGCAACTACAAACATCGAGTTTATTAAGGATAAAATAATATTTTTAATTTAATCTATATATATTTTATATGTATTTAGATTAAGGTTAAACATTAATAATACACGGATTATTTAAAATTGTACTCTCCATTTTGTGTTTATTTTATGTTTGATTAATTATTTTAATATTCCTGGAACTAGAAAAAAATTCTTGCTGGAGCTCTTTTCAAGGGCAATCCTTTTTTAATATTCCTGGCACTAGAAAAAAATTCTGCTTGCTGGAGCTCTTTTCAAGGGCAATCCTACGGTTTCTAAGACCCTCTCAAAGCATGAGAGCACTCATCCCCACAGAACACTACCGGGTTCTTTTCGTTCTTTCACCTTCTTTCTCTTCTGTACAAAGTCAAGAAACTTGAAGATTTCTATGCTAATTCTTTGACATCTTAGAGCCCTTTTTATTTCAAAACTCACAGTTTTGATGCTGGAAAAAGGCTCTAGAAACCCTTGATTCTTCTTCTCTGGATACCAGTTTCATAAGGGCTTTTAGAGTCCTGCAAAAGAGGTCCAAACTGTCTTTCAAAATCTTCCTAAATAGTCGTCACCGATAATTACTAGCTTTACCAGGATTACTTCACTAATGATTCTTGTGTTTATCTTAAGATTTTAAATTTTGAAGTCTATATTTGTAACTGCTTGTTTTCCATCATCCATTTGTCAATCAAGGCTCTCGTTTTTTTCTCTGAGTTCGGCGACATAATCAACCTCTTTGACATCAACTGAAAGAGTTCTCTTCTTTAGCAACAACAGGCTCTGTTTTCTTCAAATCCTCTGTTTTCTCGAGTTCTGTTTTCTCAAATTTGTGAGAGAAATGGTGAGGCTTTTCAGTGTTTTCTCATTAAGGAACTTACTGGTGCTGTCTGTAGCTCTTAACGTGAGCTTGATTTTGAGAGTGCTGTACGAGAAAGAGTCTAGAGTCATTAGCGGTCTCTCTCTGGACAACAGTAGAGAGGCATTGAGGACTGATAGCATGCCTAGTGAAGCACATGCTACCGAGAGGGAACATCTGTCTATGCCATCTTCTTCTTCGTCTTCTTCTTCAGTGGATAGCAATGGCAGGGACAGAGTAATCAATCTTGATCAGTAAGTGCTGCAGTTGTTTTCTTTTCTTTTCGTCTCTTTCTTAAAGTGTCATTTACTCCTATTTTGTTGCATAAACAGAACAAAACAAGTTGAGTGCACCTAACCGTTAAAAATTGTTTACTAAAGTGTGCCTAAATAACTCAATTCTTCTGGTATAAGTCAAGCTTCAAGTCTGAATGTTTTTATTTATATGCTGACCTCCCTCCAAATCTGTGGTTGAATTGCATCCCTAAGGCAAGGTCCACCATTAACTTTTTTCTACAGTTGTTGAAGTTTTATTGGTATTCTGGTCTGGAGGGGTAAAACTGAAAACTTGCAGCAGGGGTAGGTTTTTCTTTTCAGTTTAGATGCTGACTCCTTACTGGGATTCCTCTCCTTATTTGCGGTAGGAGCAGAACCACGAGCTATGCTAGGTGAGGTAAGTAAAGTAAATGATGGTGTGATCTGCCAGGGTAGAAAAGGTCAGGTCCTTTTCTCTTCTTTTTTTCTTAGATTCCTTACGGTGCGTGTTAGACAATTAGGGTTACTTTTTCGCATTTCGTGACTGTTTTTTTGTTGTTGTCATCTTTCTGTTCCCAAGTTGAAGGGTGAATATGTAAGCGCAATAATGGTTTTTGTCAAAATCACACCTGTAAAACCCTCCTCCTAACATTCAAGATAAAACTAAAAACTTGTAAATCATTAAAGTAGTTAATTTTACTATCCAGAGATTAAATTATGTCGTGTCAAATTTGACAACCTTGATAGCAACATGGTTGGTGTTGCATATTGAACTCTTTTTACGTGCCTTAGTTGTGGTCTCGTGGACCTGAGTCAGGCTTTATAAATAAATAAATAAATAAATAAAAGGGATTACCGTTGTTATTCTTTCTTATAGCATTGCACAAATTGGAAAAACTCAAGTTGCATGTTAGCACAAGGCACCATAGGGGCCTGGAAGTAGATTCATTTATGTGGGGTTTGTGCACAGTGCACAGGCAGCTTTTCTTTTGGCATCTGGGGAGATCTGAAGAATATATTGTGTGCATGTGTGAGGCTCTGGCCCCTCTGGGGAGGTGTGCATCTGAGAACTTCGGCCGCCTGTATTTTGCATCAGCTTTTAAGGTCCTCTTGAGGCCATGTCGAAAAGCGGGCTTTTCTGGATCCGCCACTGTGGGTCCTTTGTATATATGTACCACTTATAACCGGATCTTTACCTAGAGCATCACAAAGATATGATGTTAGCCATGCATCTACATTATCTAATCATTGATTTCCTCGTCGAGAGGGACCTACATGTGCTTTCCTCTCCATACCAAACCCAACCAAGCTGGAATCCCACTGTAACTTGTAGTTTTCTGTTTAGAAATATGTGAGGTTCTTCGAGCACTTGAGATAATTATTTGGTCAATTCTGGTGACGTTTTTTGAAGGTGGATTTGGATGGTTACAGAATAACTAAATGGATTTGGAAATTCCATGGAATAATTTAACATCTTCAAATTATTGCTGTATTAAATATGTTCTTACGCTGATATAATGATCTGCATGACATCTAAGGTGCTAATTTTATATAGTTGCTTCATGTAGTGGCGATCCGACAATGTATGAGAGATATTGGCAACAAACGGGTGACAAATCCACCATTTTGATTCCTGGTTGGCAATCGATGAGCTACTTCTCTGATGCTGGGAGCCTGTGCTGGTTTTTAGAGCCAGAGTTTGCCAAAGAGATTATTAGACTGCACAAAATAGTTGGCAATGCAGTCACCGAGGACCGCTACATTGTTGTCGGGACGGGTTCGACACAGCTATATCAAGCTGTATTATATGCACTCTCCCCCCTCGATGCCGTGGAGCCCCTTAGTGTTGTATCTGCATCTCCTTACTACTCTGTGAGTATTATTACTTCTCGTGTATTGTTTGATTTAACTTTCTGATATGATATGTAGTTTGTCATTTTCCAAAATTCCTTTTTTCTATTATTTTAATTTAATATTTCAACATGGTGGGTGCATTTATATATAATATGCCTCTCAAATTTCTCTGCATCAACATTAAATTGCTGGTCTTTTCTGATGCGTAGTTTCAGCTCTATTTTTTGGGTTCTTCACCTCTGCTTCTTTTTTATTAAAACCTCATAGCTTTCATATCATGCGTTGCTAGTTTCACACAAATATGCATGTGCTGAGTTTTATGGAACAAGTCAGCTTTTAAACGGTAATCAAATGTTCCGTTTAGTTTCAAATCCGTGCATGAATTCTGAAGTCGATGACCTTCAACTAGGCGCCGAATTTATACAATGCAGTGTAATCTTTATATGCTTTGATGAGTTGTATCTGGTGGACATCGTGCCATGTGTTAGGAATTGCCACCCCACTTTCACTTACTAAAGCTAAAGTTTATTTACTATCATCATTTATGCCATGTTTTATTGTTTTTATCCTATATTTTATTGTTTTTATTTTGTGTTATAATTTATATTGTTTACCATTAATATCTATAAATAAAAATATTATTAAAAAGAAAGATTAAAAGAGAAAGAGTGGTGAGTGTGTAAAGATAGAAGGGCAATGACAATAGTTTTATTGCCATTATAGCAACTGCAAATGTAGCAATAAGAACTGGGAATTGAGTATAGTGAATGTGATTCTTCTCCTCCATGTATTTGTATCGTATCATTTATGTATCTTTAATAATATGAATCTTTCCCGTAGATTTAGACGATTTGCCGAATCATATTAAATATTGTGTCAGTAGCCTTAGCCTCCAATAAGCAACTATCAGAATATCACTGGTTGAAATCCTCAACATTTGGTATCACAGCTTTTGGTTTAAAGTGGTGTTTGATTTTTGCTCCAAAATAAAAGTTGTCAAAATGATGTTTTGACCATACCACCATGTATAGGAGGAAAAGACGAGCACACCGGTGAAAACAGCGTAGAAATCGAACGTCAAACATGGTGCACCTGTAAACACAAGCCAACGAGGTGGCTATCCATGTGCATCGTCGCGTCCCATATGTCTTCTTTTTTTTGGATGGGCTAACTCGACCCGAATACCAAACGACTCGACCTATGTGACTGACTTGGATAAAGATGACATCATCATGATGTAATTATGGCGTTAGCATGCACAGTTGATATGCCATGTCAGCGCCTAATTAGCTGACATGTTAGCACTATGGGACCCACCTGTCATGTCATTAGCCGCGAGTAGAGTTAAGCCGAGTTGAGATTAGCTGACATGTTAGCACTATAGGACCCACCTGTCATGTCATTAGCCGCGAGTAGAGTTAAGCCGAGTTGAGCTGAGCCGAATTGGAGCTGAGCTGAGTTAGAGCTAAGTCGCGAGCTGAGGGATAAGATACAGTGTGGCTGATCCTATATGTAATTTGAGTTGGAGCTAAGTCGCGAGCTGAGGGATAGGATACAGTGTGGCTGATCCTATATGTAATTGGATTTGAGATTGAATCTGGGCCGCTCATCAGGCTAGAGTTATTTTGATCTAATTTTCGCTATCTGAAATGCGATTTAGATGATTTCAAACTTGTTTCCAACTAATTTATTATTTTGATCTAATTTTTGCTATCTGAAATGCGATTTAGTTGATTTCAAACTCGTTTCCAATTAATTTGATCGTTCTGAATGCAATGGTATGGTCTGATCGTTAAGATTTGGGCCAAAAATAGTGGTGGTGGTGATTTATTAAAAAGAGATTGTCCCATCAAGAGGCATCTGAAGGTTATCATGGTGGTCGTTAGAGATGGAAAAGAAGAAAGTGAATATATTTACCCAATTACATATGTTGAATTGCTAAGTGGGGAAATTTTAATTGCCTTTAGGGAAAATGAAATTGGAACACTCTGGACACCCAATCATGTGAACGATTTGAGGTGGAGGGTAGAAATTGATGAAAATCAATCTTGATTAATCTAAGCACTGGTTGTCTCGCCAAATGTTGAGAAATCAGGTATAAAACCAGGATACCCCATATCATTTTCGAAGAAAAGTCGCAATAAAACTAGCAAATGGTTGTATATATGGAAAAACAGTATGATGGATAAATATGGCCTAAGTTCTGTCTAGGAGATTGAGTTTTAAGTGGGACCGGTGTGACCCCTTCAATTTTTCTTGGGAACTTACTTAGTTGAAGGATTATCCATGCTATACTATTTTCGTATATGCAACAATTTGTAATGAAACTGTTGAAGACTAGCAGGATGACGACATAAACGAAACAATTGAGTTTCGTATGATGAAGGATATGATAGAGTGGTGATTTCTTCAAAGAAGTTAGATTCGGTGACAGATTTCTCAAGGGGAGAATTAATGAAGACCTTAATAATAGAAGAAAAATACAACAAGATGATAAAGATTGACATCTTATTTTGACTTGGATAGGTGTTCTGAGAGGATGAGCTGTTGTCAACCATAAAAGCAAAGAATAGGGAGAAATCTGGAGAATAAATATTGCACGAGGGCACATAGAGATTATGCAGGAGTACCCGTAGGATCTAACGAGGTACTGTAATGAGACAATAGGTGGAAGGAGAAGAAGAGTTTCTAGATGACGATTAGAGTAGAAACACTATATGAAAAGTTGTACAACAATAAGTCTCTTGTGCTCTAACAATAAGTCTCTTGTGCTCTTGATGAAGATAATGTGTGATGACCTTTCCAATGTATGCAAGAATGAAAAGAGAGCTGTTGTTGAGGCACCTAATTGAGGGGGGTGTAAACACTTGTAATAAAAGGCAACCACCTATGAAAGGCGAAGATACCAAAAGATAGATAGTGTGGATGGAGCTATCAAGCAGAAAGGTGTAGAAGCTCCAAATATAAAAACTGAGATGGAGGATTGTAAGGAGCGTACTGTAACTCGTTCTATGTGATCAATGATAGTAATCTCTTTCAAGTCTATATAGTGGTAGAAAATCTTGGAGCCATTAGAGTCATTCTTGATGAAAGAGGATGGGACCGTCACATGACGACTAGTAGAGACATCTTAGACAAAATGTGTGTAGTCCACAATATAAGCCCAAATTCAGATCGCTGTATGACGATGAACGGAGACACCTTAGACAAAAGGTGTCCACTGTATGACGACGAGCGGAGACACCTTAGACAAAAGGTGTGTGGACCACAAGAGGTGTCATAACCCAAATTAAAACATAATTATTTAAAAGTGTAAAATTTTATACTGTGTAATTTTTTATCCTAAAATATTCAACAGAGTTTCTCTTATAACGGGACCATACCAAGTTATCGACATCTTCACTCTTGACACAACTCATATCATAATCATGGTCCAATAATCTTGGACCTCTTTCCCGAACAACGAATCACATAAAAAAACAGCTATTGTCCAATAATCAAGACGCAATCAACAATAAAATAAATAAACATAAATTAAATTAAACAATTTTAAGGTTTATTTAACTTACATAATAATAAAAAAAAATTAAAAACTTAGATTATGAATGTAATACCCCTATTATTTTATCATTCCAACATTTCTAATCATATGAACAACCATGATAGAATATAAATATTTAATTTAACATAAAGATATTTTTAAGTATGATATACATATTAATTACATATAAAAGTTCTGTTCTACAAATATAAAGGTGCATTCAAACTCTTTTACATCATTTCTAATTCTCAAATAAATATTGATCAAAATAAATACACAAAAAGTAGCATTTATTCAAGCAGGATCTATTCTACTACTGTGAGGGTCCTAAAAATAAGATTAATATTTTATCAATATAATTATCAATAAATGCAATGTATCATTTTACTACACCTATATAAATATTTCTTTTCTATATACTTTATTATGATCATTAATATCTTATATCTCCATATTCATTCTATTAAATTTCAATCTTAGTTGTTTCACGGGGTAGTACTCCCTCATTAGGGACACTAATTTATTCACTTAAGTACTAGTACTAATTCATTCGCTCAATTATTGGTACTACTTTATCCGCCTAATTACCAGGGATTAGTTCACTCACTTAATTACTGAGCATTAATTCATTCGCCCAAATACCAATACTAACTCATTCGTTAAATTATCGGGCATTGATTCACTCGTTCAATTACTTGTACTAATTTATATGCCTAATTACCAGACATTAATTCATTCACTCAATTACAGGGCATTAATTCATTTGCTCAATTACTGATATTAATTTATTCATCCAATTACCGGGCATTAATTCATTCATTAACATCAAACATAAATTACAGAATTTCTAATTAAAATGAACACAAGTTTTTGAATTAATCTTTCTATAAAAATTTAAGATGTCGAATATCTATTTGCTGGCGATGCTGGACTAGTAACTCCCTGTTGTTGTCTAGAGCCTCCAACCTCTCTTGTTTCATGTGAAAAATCTTATAATTTTAATATTTCATCACCTAATAATTTTTTTAAAACTTCTTCGTATAATAAGATTTTCAATCAATATAATTTTAACATCCGAAACTATTATGATTATTCTAACATAGTTTCATGTTCTGTAATAATTTCATAAATAATTCATGCAATGCTACATCCACTTAAACTTTTAATTCACCACAATTATAAGAGAATTTTATATCACTATAAAACTTTTCCTAACAATCAAAGGAAATTTAAGTCCTTTATATCTAATTTAACACATCATTTTATTTTATTTTCTTACTATTTAAATATAATTTATTAATTTCTTCAAGCTTGAAATTTTATTTCTTATATTTTCCAAGGCTAAATTCACATGTCTAAGAATTCCATAATCACACATAACAATAACTAAGCATCCATGTATGAAATTTTACTATTTAATACAATAAAATCATATTTACTTATAATATAACAAGGAATCAATAGCAAACCCAAGGTGGAAATCATTTTTTTACCCCCTTCTTCTTCTTTTTTTTTACACATTCTTCAATCTTCAAATATTCAATTATTATAACTAAATATAATTTGTTTGTCATTAATTCAACAACCTAATCATAAAAAAATAACCATCCTTGGTCGAAATTCACATTACTAAAAGGAGGAAATTTTTATTTTTTTTAAATTAACCTAATTAATGACAAGCCTAAACATTTATTCCCTCAGTAAACATGTAATTAATATAAATCCATGCATTCAAATCATCACAACATCAAGAACCCACCTTCATATAATACTAATTCTACTCAATCCAATGACAAACATGAAAAACAATACAATAAATCATCATGGAGAGTTTTCTTACCTTTAAGGAATGAAGAATTAAAAACCAAAACAAGTTGAATTAAGTTGTTCCTTTACACTTTCCTCTAAGCTCAATGTTTTTTTTCTTTCTCTGAAAGCACTCTTAAAATCTTCAAACTCTTTGTAGCCTCCTTAATGCATCAAACTCTCTCTTTAATTACTTAACACTCTTTCTATCTTACACTTTGTTCTAGATTTTTCAAGCAATTTCCATGAAAAAATGACGCAAGCCTTCCTTTTTTCATTTTTCTTCTCTTGGCTGGCTGCACATTCCTTTTTTTTTTAATTGCTGACAACTTGTAAAAGGATTATTTTGGGCAAAGTCTCAATTTAATCCCTAAAGAATTTATAGACACTCATTTGTGTTATTTGTTCTTTTATCTAAAAAAAATTCTTATCATATTTCAAAAATTTTGAAATTTTAACCTAGGTTAAAATAATATTTTATAAGACTCCATGCAAAATTTCAACTTAATTTGATGACCAGATTGAAAGTTATGTGATATAATGTAAAATTAGTTAGTTTGTAATTTTTCGTCAAAATTTAGATTTTTATATTTCATACTTGCACAAGTCATATCAATTGATTTACTCAATTCTTGAGATATTTTTTTCATATATTTATTTATTTATTTATTTTTATTAGGGTTTATAATAGGAGCCCAGATCAGAACGCTCTAAAGCCAATGTGATGGCTATATATGAGTGAACAGGTGTATAGTCAATGAAGTGACTATGATGAGTATGAAGATAAATGCAGGATTGACTTTCATGGATATTGCTCCCATGTTAAATATCATTAAGCTAGAAGACATTTGCTTTGGACAATAAGTGGATGACTTGTGGAGCATTAACACGCGACTGCTATGTAGAAGTATAAAGCATGCGTAGGTTCCCGGAATAAGTTGACTCTTGTCAAGGTGTTGAGCTCGATAATGTCATTATAATACTCAGAGTATGGAGATAAATATGGATCAATCTTTGATGGGTTGCCTTCATGGTTAAAGGTGGAGAGCTATCTAAACTCTTAGGACTAAGAGCAAGAGACTTACGGAGAAATAAGACGTGGTTTCTAAGATGGAACAAAGATCAGATGTAACTCTTAGATGAGTAGACTATTGGAAGAGTGTTGAGCTCGTGATCATATTCAAATACTTAGTTAATTACTGTTGTACTTGAAAATAAAAATTTCCATTTGCGGTGGTATTATAAGTGTAAGGCTTGAAAAAATCACTCTAGACCGAGCATGGTTGATTCGTTTGAAGGAGAATGTTATGTCCAAGAGACAAACGTTAATACTCTTCAGATGTGATATGAGAGATCATTTGATTGAAGTGATCCTTTGGTGTGAGCAAGGGTGTGCTTTGATGACTCTAATGATTGAAAGGTTTGGCAAGTACTTGTAAACTTGGTCGAAGATGCTCTTAGAATGGTAAGCTTAAAAAGCTGCAGGATGCAAGTTTCTGTTGAAAAAACAAGAGGATAATTACCAACACAAATGACAAAGGGGGTGATTGTTAGGAATTGTCATTTTGTGACAAACCCATTTCCACTTAATGGAAGCTTATTTAGTGCCACCATTTGTGCTATATTTCATGGTTTTTGTCCTTCCATTTTGTGTCATAATTTATGGTCCCTTGTTTGCAATTGATGCCTATAGTTAAAGGCATTATTAGAGAGCAAAGGTTGAGAGAGAGAGAGTGGTAAGTATGTGAAAGAGAGGAGGGCAATAACAGTAGCTTTGTTGGCATTACAGTAACTGCAAGTGTAACAATAAAAGCTGAGAGTTGAATAGAGTGAATGTGTTTCTCTTCTTCCATGTATTTATATTGTATTCTTTATTTATTTATAATAATATGAATCTTTTTTGTAGATATAAATAATTTATCAAACCACGTTAAATATTATATCAGTATACTTAACCTTTAATTTTCAATAAATGACTATCAAAATATTATCAATTAGAATCCAAACACCATGTTCTATTGAAGATAGTATCCTACGTTGTAAAACAATAAATAATCATAATTGAAATCACGTTCCTCGTAATTGTCAAGATCCGTCTTCCACGCACGATTTCCCTCCAAACGATTTCAGCTCAATGCAGCAGAACCTCTGTCTCTCCATCCTATTATAGCTTTTATTTAACCATTTTCTTTTTAATCCCTTTGCTCTCTATGCAAGGACTTCATTGAATGCCAAAGTAGAAGGTTCTTCATTTGATATAAAAACAAATTTCTGTCTTCCGTTTTATTGATTCTTTAATTGTGAAGAAATTTAGCAAGAATTAATTGTCTGCTAACAACAATTTTAGCATCCAACCTTTGATGATTATTATGCGTTAGTCTAACTTTCATCTTGATATTTTTTTACAGTCTTATCCATTAATCACTGACTGCCTGAAGTCAGGGCTTTATAAATGGGCTGGTGATGCACAGAGTTTCAATAAAGAAGGACCGTATATCGAACTCGTTACCTCCCCTAATAATCCAGATGGGTATGTCAGGCAGTCTGTTGTCAACAAAAGTGGAGGCATCTTGGTTCATGATCTTGCATATTATTGGCCACAATACTCGCCAATAGCTGCCGCCGCCGATCATGATATTATGCTCTTCACTGTGTCGAAAAGCACAGGACATGCTGGGATGCGCGTTGGGTAAGCCTAACTAAGATTCGGACAAACATTGTAACTAGCTGATTAAGCACGTATTTCAAATTCTTTTCTTCAACTTCCTTCAGATGGGCTCTTGTCAAGGATGAAGAAGTAGCCAAAAAGATGGTGAAATATGTAGAGCTTAACACGATCGGCGTGTCAAAGGATTCGCAGCTTCGAGCAGCTAAAGTGCTGCAAGTAGTGACTGATGGCTGCAAATATCCTACCAGCGAAGAAGGGTCCCTCTTTGACTTTGCTGCCCACCTCATGGAAGAGAGGTGGAAGTTATTAAGGGCCGCGGTCAGGCAAAGTGGTCTCTTCACTTTGCCAGAGTTCCCCCCTGGATCGTGCAGGTTTCTCAACATCTCCTTCGCTCCTCGACCAGGTAAACATGGCTTATATTTTAGATCGTTAATAATCATAGCAGTTACACTATTCATGAATTTTTCTTTTCTTCTACGAAAATGAGTTTTACACTTACATAATATGCATGGTCTTCTGCACAGCTTTTGCATGGTTGAAGTGCGAAGCACCCATAGAAGACTGCGAAGCCTTTCTCCGATCTAACAACATCTTAACAAGAAGCGGTATTCATTTTGGCGTTGGACCACAATATGTTAGGATAAGCATGCTAGATCGAGATGAAAACTATGATGTATTTGTAGATAGATTGTCCACCATCCACCTGCGACAATCCATGCAAGGTAGATGAGACGGCGGAATAGCATGGGCCAAAAAAGTCCATGTCTGTAAAAGACGTAAAAAGAAGGGGGCAAATGAAAGCACTTCATGTTTTATGCATCTGCCAATCAAGAAATTGGTCACATATCACTCCATATTTTTTCCTTTTCACACGGACGAATCCATGCATGACAAAATAAAATACGAAGATCTATAGACAAAACTGGGAAACAACTCAAATCTGCAAAGCTCCTACTCTCTTGTTTCTGGCAAGAGGAAAACTGCTATTCCATATGAGCAAAACAAAGAAAAGTCTTAGTTAAATCGAGAATCTTTTTTGTCTGCAATTCCTGGACCTTCTAAAATAAGTAGGCATATATAGATTTTCTTTGAGCCCTCTTTCTTTCTTCAATAATTATTTTGTCCCAAATAATCAAATATAAGTATTAGTTACTGCATGCTTGATCAAATTAAGGGTTTTTTTGCTCTCTTTTTTTTCTCATTCATAGAATTTGTAAGTTAAACATAAATCCTATTATTGTTTAAAATATCAGATATGATAAGAGACATCAGACAATTTCTTTTTGTAACATCATTAAATTTTAATTGTAAAGATTTTCCCTTATCGTAATTTATATGTGAGTTGTAAGCATATGAAATAATCTCTCAACCATCAATTTTGGAATCTAAAAGTTACAATTTAACAAACATGATACATCATATCAACACTAACCTGAGAAAGATCAATCCATTTTGAGAATAACCATTCAAATTTAAGTTTCTCATTATAAATATTTTATTCTACATTTATGAGTTTTGCTTAGAGTTAGATTCTGTAAGGATATCAGTACTGAACTGCAACAATTTCAAGATGGAATCATAATTACGAATCTTCACCATAATAGTTGCAGAATAGATCTTTTGCTTAATATATGCTGTGTATCATATTATTTTTTTTTAAATTATAAAAAAATATAAATATTATTAACATGTTTATAACAAAAAATAATAATAAAACCTAATTATTAATTAATTAAATTCAAGACTCGAATGATAAGAACCATATTACTATATAAACAATAATAATAATACGAAATAGAATGCTTATACAAAAAAGAAAAAGAAAAACATAAAGAAAACATTTAAGAACTTAATCTCGGAGAAAAAATGAAAATACATAATTTACAATAAAGAATACGTATCTTAAGATTTATATCATTCCATACTCATAATATTCTGAGTATTTATAGATGATTTGGGGCGATATCTTCAAGATAAGAGGTAAAATATGAATGCATTTAAATTTGTAAGAACAAAGTATCTATAAATGAAGTTTTTACAGAACATGATGGATAGATTAAAGTATCTCTAATGAAAGATAGCGTTCACGTATAATTTTCAAAATTTGTCAAGCAAATTTAATTTTGAATTGTATAGTGTGAAATGACATGGCAGATTTAAGCTTTCATATAGTTGAAATAAATTCACCTATGAAAATGGAAAAAACAAACTCTGGAAAGAAGAGAGTTGCAAACCTGATTTATTTATAAGATAAAAAACGAGTTTTCCAAAATGCAACCCAGTGCTTTGAAAAAAGCACTTGCAGCAAAAAACGAGGCCATGATCTTTCATGACTCTAGGATTTATTTAATATTTATGAGTCTATTATTTATGTTGATAAGCTCAAGTTGGAAGGTTAAATAATTGATGACAGCGGGGATCAACCGGCTCAAGTTGTTGTGATGATGTATCATTTATGTTAGGTTAAAAGCTTCCTAGCTCTTAACCAATGAAAGAAGGCACAAATTAAGGATAGATTAGGTAATGACTTTATTTATTAGATATTATTAATTTAAGTTTTATAAATTTTAGAATTATTAAAAGTTTATATAATTATTTATTTTATATATTCATAAAATTAGTTGAGATACTTGTAAGCTGGCTTAAACAACCACATTAATCTAAAAAACAAATTATTTTTTTATAAAACCAAATCTATATTTCCAAACTTTTTTTAAAGGTTGGGTATAAATATTTAAGCCCATAAAAAAAGGTTGAGCTCGAGCTCAAACTTGAGTTTAGATGCTAAATATGTCCAATATTTCTAATGAACTCGAGCGCTAACCCGAATTCAGGTATTGGGCATGCCCAATACCTCTAACCGGCTCGGGCACCAACTTGAGTCTAGGTGTGGGCATGCCCAACTTTTTTTGTTGGGCTCAGGTGCTTGACATCCCCAATATTCTTTTGCGGGTTTGGGTATACAATTCTAGCTCAATTTTTAAAAGATGTGTCTTAATCCTTCTTTTAAATCTAAAAATATGTATCGAGTCTTTTTTTTATTTATTAATATTTATATATAAAATATATTTTTTATTAATACATGTATAATAAATATTTTTTTATTAATGTTTGTGTAAGAGATATTTTGCTTCTTGTAAATATTATTATGATAAAATTATTTTTTAACCCCTTTACTTAAAAAAAAATAAGATCTAAGAGCTATAAATATTTTTTAAATTATAAGGTAAAAGATTAGTTTTTTTTTAACATTAAAAAGATATAAATTGAATACAAAACAACTAAAATTTTAGAATTAAAATTTCTTTAAATGTATTTATCACTCAGTTTCTCCACTAAGTTGCTAATTTTACCAAAAGAAAGTTCTTAAACATTCTGAGAGCGAATTTTTTTTTACAACAATTCAAAAGCGTTCATCAAGAAAGTTTACTTTCATTCTAGAGAAAAAAACTATTTACAAAGACACTTTACCAATTTATAATTCAACCAGGAAAAAACCTTATCCTATGCATCCTCCTAATTTTAACTCCTCATCGATACTTATTTCAGAATAAGAAGGTTGAAGACCAATAAAATTTAGTGTAATCGATTGAAGGAATGCCGCCTGACTCCACGTATATATGATGCACGTATATTTGAATCCTAGTTATTGAACGAGCATGTTTTGATTACAATTGCAGATTGTGCTTTGATTTTTACTATGAATTTCGAAATGACGAACTTGTCAACATCTCCATGAAGAAACTGATTCATCTTCCATCAAATAACCTGGTGAAAACTTGACTGCTTCCTCCAAGTACCCCTTTACTTAAAAAAAAATAAGATCTAAGAGCTATAAATATTTTTTAAATTATAAGGTAAAAGATTAGTTTTTTTTTAACATTAAAAAGATATAAATTGAATACAAAACAACTAAAATTTTAGAATTAAAATTTCTTTAAATGTATTTATCACTCAGTTTCTCCACTAAGTTGCTAATTTTACCAAAAGAAAGTTCTTAAACATTCTGAGAGCGAATTTTTTTTTACAACAATTCAAAAGCGTTCATCAAGAAAGTTTACTTTCATTCTAGAGAAAAAAACTATTTACAAAGACACTTTACCAATTTATAATTCAACCAGGAAAAAACCTTATCCTATGCATCCTCCTAATTTTAACTCCTCATCGATACTTATTTCAGAATAAGAAGGTTGAAGACCAATAAAATTTAGTGTAATCGATTGAAGGAATGCCGCCTGACTCCACGTATATATGATGCACGTATATTTGAATCCTAGTTATTGAACGAGCATGTTTTGATTACAATTGCAGATTGTGCTTTGATTTTTACTATGAATTTCGAAATGACGAACTTGTCAACATCTCCATGAAGAAACTGATTCATCTTCCATCAAATAACCTGGTGAAAACTTGACTGCTTCCTCCAAGTGAAGCTTCCCACTCAATTGAGGACATCACGATTTTAGAAAGTTTCTGGACAATTTCTCGCATCTCCGGCCGATTTGTCGGGTCTTCATTCATACAATGTGTAGATAGTTCTGCCATCTGCAATATTAGCGTAAGAGGAGGTGTGATACACATATAGATATTGTAAGACATGAAGCTTAATGCAATCGGATTGGCCTTGTGGACTCGTCAGCAATGCTCGCACAATTGACTGCATATGCATGGATTTTGTAGATTGTGGATGCCTATGCCCTTCCATTCGGTAACAGATGAGAACATCTAGCTTTGGAGAATGTATTTTTCTCTGTTTCTGCCCAGGGCCAGGTTCAAGCACAGAGTTGCCTTTTTGAGTTTTGCTCCATCTTTGATCTTTCTCTAGAATTTCTGATTGTTACTTGTCTGACATCTTGGCTTCAATGTGAACATAAAATGTAAAGTGGATTGATAATCTTGCAATTACACTGACCTTGTAAACTTCATCCATTGGGTAGCTTCCTTCCATGTTTTCATCTATATTAGCTTCCAAAGCTGTCTCCGGGTCTTGATCTCGGAATATTGCTATCATCTGATCCAATTTAACAGGAGATATTAAAACAAAAAGGGTTAGATGGCCCATCCATGAAGTGTCAAGTAAAGATGAGATTGAAGAGGTGGTTTGTTGGGGAGGAATAAGCTGAACAACATGAGAATATGCATAGCAGATGTAACAAGGCATACACTCCATTGTATTGAACAATGCCGCCTCAGAATTTGTTACATAGTTTGGATACAACCTGGGGATTGATTAAAAGATAAGAGATGACTTAATGTATCACCAAACAGACAAAAACAAAAAAAAACCAAAAGAAGGAAAAACAGCTCAATGGGGATAAACTTGTCTGTAAAATGTTTATGAATTGGATATAAAGAAATTGATCTGGATGCACTAGGCTACAGATAGTAATGACTGGAGATTGTAGAGGTGAGTTTTCTAGTTTAATAAGGATTTGTAATCTAAGCAGTCAGTGGGAACTAGTAGACCACACAACAACTATGTAATTCAATTCTGAACTTACAACTGATACCAATACTTTCATCTTGTTCGGTTGCAGGTTGTCGCGTGCGAGCGCTCGCTGACCAGTTATTAGCTCTGCCAGGACCACTCCGAAAGAAAACACGTCAGTTTTTGATGTCATCTGTAGTTCACGAACAGATCTAGCAGAAAATAATCAGATTGGAACATTACAATTACCAACCATAGAATGGAAAAGAGCATCTTTTGTTTTTTCAAGTGTTGGAATGGAGTGAACAAGAATGAGGCACAAATCTAAGTAGTTATGAGGTCAGGACTTACTCAGGAGCAATGTAACCTGGCGTGCCTACTAGCCGTGAGTTATGAGCTCAGGACTTACTCAGGTGCAATGTAACCTGGCGTGCCTACTAGCCGTGTTGCTACTGCATCTTCTTCATTTGATCTTTCTACCAATCTTGCCAGTCCAAAATCTGCAACCTGTGGTAAGAGCATTAGCTAGTACAGTAAGGTGAAGCTAGGAACGGTTTTATGCAACTGCATGCATATGCCTAACAACGAACGAAGCAAATATGCAACAGAACCAATTAACGACAAACATATATTCACACCCTCAAAATGAAAATGGTAGCAAGTACCTTTGCTCCGAGTCCCCTATCAAGTAGAATGTTACTTGTCTTTATATCACGGTGAACATATCGCGCTTTTGTGTGATCATGAATATATTCAATTCCTCGTGCAGCGTCTAGTGCTATTTGTGCTCTTGCAAGCCATGAAAGGGGCGAGTGACCTGATACCATTTAGTGTCAGAACCTTGCAGAAGCAATATGCGGCATGATTTTAGCTTTTCCATTCTTTCTAAAGACAGCTTCACTCTCTAATCGGTTCTCATGAGCTAACTGTTAAAGCGTTTATCACACTAATACCTTTTAGCAGAGGGTCATGAAGGTGATCATTGAGTGATCCATTCTGAATATACTCGTATACTAAATAGAGGTGATTATCGCCTGTTGCATATCCCAGCAGCTCCACCTAAGGAATAACATTTTGTTCATTAAAATTATCACTTAATCCTTTGTTTTTTAGAGTGTTCTGTACCCTTTTTCTGGAAAAAAAAAATCCTCACCACATTAATATGATGTATCTTGCACAACACTTTGAGCTCTGAGTAGAATTCCTTTGATCTGGAAGACTTCATTTTCTTAATTGCAACTTCCTGTACTTCGATTTAGCAACAAGGTTTTGTGACTCGATTTAAATTTGTTCAAACTATAAGCATGTAGTGAAATCATATCATACCCTTTCTTTCAGAGTACCAATGTACACAATCCCATATCCTCCCGCTCCAATTTTTCTGCTTTCGTCGAATTGACTTGTGGCCTCATCTATCTCCTTCAAACTATACACTACTGGTCTTTCGGATTCAAAGGTTGCATCTACACCAAGAAATTTAGTTTCACATGAGCAATCGCAATGGAAATTAACACCTTTCGACTAATTGAGCTAATTTCTATAAGATACTTCCTCAAATTCAGTTGTTGTTTTTTTATAGATTTCTCTTGAAGCCATATTGCTCTGTAGTTGCTTCAGAGTCACGTTGGGAGACTGACCTTCTATGTACTTTTCACGAGAAAGGGCCCTTAAGGAAGTCCTCGTGGGACTTTGGGCTTTGTTGACGACTTCTGGGTCTTCTTTTCTGTTTTTATGGTTTGTGTTTCTTCTGTGGAGGAACAACAGCATTGAACAAACTGAAAATAAAGTCACCGCTGACAGTGTACCAAGGATTATTGCCAAATGGTGTTGCTTTCCTGGTTTGAACAAGAATTACCTATCATTTAAAGATTATTTTTTCCATACAATTAGAACATTTAGATTCTGCAAGAAGAATTTGAAGGGTTAATTGCTGACCTTGTTTTGGTGCTTGAATTCCATTCTTCTCTCTGGGAACGAATAAAACCCATCCGACATCAATCAAGCTTGGATTTCGAATTAATCTTTCATTTAGATTCTTAATCCCAGTCAGTTCCGCAGATAAAAGTTCTGCAATCCCTGTTAGGGTATCATTTTCCTGAACCGTATATGTCACAATCTCTTTAGTCTCTACTTCTACGCATCCACATACAAGATGCACACTAATCTTATCTCCAGCAATAAATAGCCGTTCCACTCCTGGAACCTCCCAAGCTTGCCCACTATAGAGAACCCATGTAACATTGGCAAATATGTCGCCAGATTGTACACTATAGATGGTATCGTAGAAGTAGCCTTGAGTGCCATTCACATCCTTGCAAGTGCACGGAACTGATACAAGATAGTCTTGTTTGAGGCCATGAGTAATGGGCTCAACATTGGATGACTTCACTGAGTAGAAAGAAGCTATTTGCTCAATGGAAAGGCCTTCGGAGATGTGATATAGATAGGAATCACAATTCTGAACCTGGTCAGAGCAACTAAAGGGGTACATGGTGCTGCTTGACTCGATGAAGACATTGGAGGAGAGAACATGAGTAAGGATAATTGCGAAGAAATAAACGTGGTGGAGATGGAATTGACGGTTGTTTTGGGCAGCCATCTTCATGACAGAAAATGAATAGCAGGATCACACAATAAACATATATCATGCACCCCTTTATTATATTTCTGATGGCCTCCTGATAAGGGATCATCAGCTCATCACCTTACCAACAAATATGCCATTTTTGAACGCAACAAAGTTGCAACTCAAAAGTCACTGACTTGGCTCATTTCTCCTCCTGTATGACCTAAGCAGAATTCGCAAGTTTACCAATTCTGGCTAGCATGCTTTGTCTCCATGTATATGGAACCACATCATTGGATTATATGTTATTAGTAATTGAAATTGTTGGTGACTTCATTCCTTTCCATGTGTTGTACTTCAAGCATAAGCATTTTTATGAAGACTTTTTCGTGGTTAGGTCATCGTTCATACCTGTTATTCGAAGGGATTAAGTTACAAGTTGTCGCTTTGTGCAAGAAGTTACAGTATATGTATCATTCCGCAGGTGAGCTATTTGGCTGGTCAACAGTAAAATTAAGCATGACCTTTTGCCATCAAGCGACGTCTTCGACCTACCCTTTGAAGTAAACGATGATGTGTAACAGTACAATTGGGAGAAGTTTCTGGTTGCTGTCTCACACAACACATGATAATCCCAGATGAGTGGTCATGACCCGTCAAGCTCCAAGAAATTGTTCTATCTTGAAGAATCAACTTCTTTGCATGATGGATCCTGAGCAAAAACCTTCTATTTCGGAGTTGAAAATTACAATAATATCCACTTTGTCGGAGGTGAAAAAAGAAGAAAAGAAGTGTAGCTCTGTTGAAAATTGTGTGTGAAAATTGAATGGACATGTCACCAAACAAGGCACTATAAAAAAATACACACGGGATTATTTAGAGTTTAGTGGTTTGGTAATCATTGCGCAACCGTACGACGGCAGCAAAAAGGAGGTGGCCGGCAGCAAATGCTTTCAGCCAACATTGAGCCATGGTCTGGCTCAACAAGGCTATTAGCCCGTGAAAGCTAGCTTCTTTTGAGCTTTGTCAATTAGTCAATTTAATTTTTTAATTTAATTATACCAAGTCAACTTTTAAATATTTCTTGTAAAAACACACTCAACTCTAATTTAATTTCGGTTCAATTTGTTAAGTCATGTTTATTAACCATGCTTTTTGCCACCAACGATAAGCTGCAAAAGATCATTTAAGACACTTCATATTTAGAGTATTAAATTTTTTTATTTTATTTTTTATAGTTGAATGGAAAAAAAAAAGAAAAAAAAAAACCAACCTTGAAGGATAGTCCTTTCTTATTACATTCGTAGAAAAGTTATTATTAGAACTCGAGAGGAACAAGACATACAACTGCTTGGGAAAATATACTAAATCCCTTCTTCATGATGTAAGAATGGAGAATAGAGAAAACTTGTCGTCTCTAAGACTCGACCACCATGTCTTCCTTTACTAATGAGGTAAATAACTTTAGCAACTAATTACACATGTTGTTACTCATATCTTGTTTAACATTTTGCTTTCAAACAAATTAAAAAAAAAAAAAAAAACTGATCCAACATCACTTTCTCAAGGTATTAATGCTCATTTTACTTGGACCAGTTTTCTGCAGTATTGTTTTTTTAATATCTAACAGATTCTTTTGAATTATTTATAAAGAAATAAGCTTCAGTAGGCTACAAAGCCCAATATATCAATCATGTCACAATCTTGAAAACCCTTTTTATGTCTTCGCACCCTCTTGACCACCCTTTGTCACCTCTCGGGCCTTTCTCTGAACAATCTGGCCCGTCTCCCTAGCTTTCTGGCCCACTTGTCCTGCTGTTTCCCGTGTCCTCCGTTTCGCTTGATCCAATTTCTGATGCAAGGGACCTCTGATCAAGCTTCGAATATAGCTGGCCATCCATGAGAGCGATGAGAATGCGGTGACCCCGAAAGCACCAGACTTTAAGAATCCAAGCACGCCCGGCCCTATGAAAAGAGCTGCAGGAACCAAAACTGGGCTAAAAATAAAAAAAAGTGGCGTTTCCACAGCTAGCCCAATAAGTGTCCCTACAAGAGTGAGACCTGCAAGGAAGAGAAGGGTGCCACCAACAGGCAACAAGGTCACAACAGCTAAAACCTGGGAAGTTGAAGCATCCATTCCAGGGAGGAATATGCCCGCTGTGCCTTGACCACCAGGTCTCAGCTGTTGCTGTTGTTGGCGAGAGTCAGCCATGGAGAGGCTGCTGGGACTAGCTAAAGATCAGCTTGTAGATTATTGCAGAGATGGAGATGGCATGCAAAAACGGAGAGCACAAAACGAGCGTTATATTTTTGGAGATGGGGGAAAGGACACGTGGAATAATGGGGTGACACAAGTTTGGTAGGCGGGATGTACAAGCTTGCAGTTGCATGGTGAGCGTGTCTTTCGTAGTACGTGTTTGCTGAGTCAGCGTGGTGTTGTGTTCTGTAATAAATGGAATGGGGCTCATACAAGCAAGCAGTCCCAAAGCTTGGAGCTTCCCCTTGCTGGGCTATTTTGCTTGGGGGCCTGATTAAAACAGAAGTTGGAAATTATTCATTTATGACTGAATTTTCCATGATTGGTGAATGATTTCATCGAAATTGATATACAATTTGTAAATTCTTGGTAAAGAAATGAACTAGTAGGGCAACAATTTTGTCATGTTGACGATGGAAATTGGCATGACAAGAATATTAACTTAGGTTTGGTCAATAATTAATGACATGATGATTTATTTGTTTAGATTAATTTACAATATGGTTAACTATATTGTTAGCAATATTATCGTAAACTAAAAGTGGAAGTTCAAAAACATATTTACTTCCATTGTACGACTATACAAATCCCAAGATATGAAAAAGTAATTGATAAATATTTATCTAGTCTATCCAATACCTTACAGAGTTTTTTCGTTAGACAAGAGACCCCTGTTCTGTGTGAAATTTCTCACTTGTGTATGACCTTAATCTACATAATTGATGGAGAAATTACATAGTTTTTTCGTTAGACAAGAGACCCTTGTTCTGTGTGAAATTTCTCACTTGTGTATTTTTGAAGCCTTTTTGTCCCCATAAATAAAGGGATTATAACTACATCTTGCTATCACCATGCAATCTCAAAAGAAAAAATAATTGATATGGAGAATTTAATTATTTAACTATTAAATAGGCAATGGTCTATAAAATAACATTTTAATTTAATTAAAAATTAAAACATAACTAACATTTTATTACTTGGCCTTTCCCATGTTTAATACATACCTAATATTGAAAGATTTTAAATTGCATGAATCATGCCAATAAATTATTTAGAGCAATTATTATTTTTTACAAATTACAAAGCAACTTTCTTTTTTGGAATGAGAACTATATAAGGTACATATTTCTTCTAAATGTTCATTAATGTTCACCAAATAAAATTCAAATATGCATTGTCATTCTCTAAACTTCATATATACAATCAAATAAAAGAACACAAATATAAAGTTAATGAAGTCTTACAAATCAATAAAATAGAATGGAAAAGCAAAAGAGTATCTTAATCACATAAAAAAAATTACATAATAAAATTGAGTCTCATATACTCAACATATCCCTTATAAATAATAGGTGATAAACCTTTTTTCAATGGATCAATAATCATAAATCTACTAATCATATGTTAAACAACCACTTTGTTTGATTTGATATTTTCTCAAATAGTTAGATACTTAATATTGTTAGCTTGTTATGACTTTCTTTTTTATTGTTTTTAGATGAATAATGAATTTATTGTTATAAGTCTTTAACAACTTGGAAATTTCATAAACAATTTTAAACTTCAAAATAAAACTCCTCAACGATATATCTTGTGATGTCACTGTAAAAGATGATGATATATGATACTCTGTTTCAGTAGTAAAAATAACAAACAATGATTGTTTGTATTTTTATAAGAAATGACCACTCTAGCTAATTAAAAAAATAAATCATGATCTTCACTGTATTAAGTTAAGGTATCCAATAAAACTAGAATTTGAATATCTAATTACTTCTTAATAATTATGTTGTTTATATATATGTTTTAATTTTTAATCCTTGAAGGTATTATAATTTCTTTACAACTCTTTAATGTTCCGAAAACCTTGGTTACCTTAATATCCACCTAATAATCAATCTCATATACTATGTTAGGTCATGTAAGGAATGTTCATTATTTATTTGTCTTTAAATAATTTATTGATGATAAAAGGTTAATTTATGTTTAATGAAAAAAAAAACATAATGTTTAATGAAAAAACAACATAACTCTTATCATATTATTTCAAATGAAAGGTTATTTTTGGTGTGTATTTTCTCATAAATTTACTTTTAATTGCCATAAGTGTTTTATAATTGTTTATAAATTTAATTTCATTTTATATGCAAATATGTTTTCAGGTTAATTCAATATCAATCATAAAAAATAAAAATAAAAGTTATTAATTTAGGTCATGGAAGTTTCAACATCAATCCCTTTTAAAAAGCAACTTGTTGAATTGACTCATGGAAGTTTCAACATCAAACCCTTTTAAAAAGCAACTTGTTGAATTGACTGGCTACTTTTTTTTGAACAAAAAAAATTTATACGTTGGACTCATAAAGATAGTTAACATTGAATTAGACTTTTGCCCATTTATATTGACTAGTTTAAAACAGGTGTTGGTGAAAAAAAAGAAGCTTTGACTATTCTTTTGGATATGTGTAAAACCGGCCCGACAATATCACTCATACTTATTAGACTATCAATTAAATACCCATTTCTCAATCAAGATTAAGCCACCATAATTATTCTGGATCACACAGTCAATCAAGAAATCAGCGCAATGGCTCCTCTTATGATTTGAATTAAAACCTTGCTTGGGACGACGTTTGAGGGGGCATCTTGATATGTTTGAAATACCCTTTTAACAATAGTTCGACTTTATTTGATATTGTCATTTTCGACATGTCAAAATCTGGCAATATATTCCATGAGGGACACTTTCTGCGCATATGATTAGAGAAGGTATTCCTTCTCCGCATCCTTCGAAGTAAAAAATTTAGAGAAGCCACCGCTACGAACAGCTAGAAGATATTCTTATTCTCTTCATCAAATCTAAATCTGTACTACAATATCTTGGTGTATGAATTAATACAGTATCGCCCTCTTTCATTAATTATATAGCCATTGTCAAACATAAAATGCGTATCTAGAAAAGCGTAGTTCTTTAATCCACAATATCTTGTAACGCCATGGCAACCACCATGGCCATCATCATTGCTGAGTTGACAAAAGAAATACTCAAATTCAGTGCATGTAAGAAATAAAGGCATGATACAGAGAATATATATGTTGTATTAGCCACTTATAAAGCCTTTTTTCTACAACTCCTTCATACATGCGGCCAGTAGGAGGCAGTACTGCTGTAGGAGGGATAAACATGAGCTTAATGATTGCTTAATCCCCCTTGATTGAGCTTAATTATGCGTGCAGAAGTTTTGGAATTAAAGCATTCTTTTCTTCTTTCATGCAGAAAGCTTAAAATTAAGCATGCCCAATAGATCCGGGCCATGATGCATTTTGTGGGGCTAAAGCTACTACACAAATTTTATCCGAAGATGGGTAACATGATTAATTAGTTGAGAAATCTTTAGATAGCTTAAAATGCCTTCTTTTTCTTTATTTTTTTTTAATATCCAATTCATTAATGTTTGCTCCTTTCCTAGGTTCTTTGAATGTTATCTTAGGAACAAAGAAATGTTCCGTGGCTTTGCTTCCAAACATTAGAACTATATCTAATCATTTCTACCATCCCGCTCGCAAAGGGAAGAAAAAAAATTGTAGTGGCTTGGACTGGTGTCCTTGGAAGGAGAATTGGGGTTAATGAATCTACCACATAAATTATAAAAATAATAATTATTATAGTTTTAGAAAGTAATGTTGGGATTAATTATTATAGTTTTAGAAAGTAATTTTGGGATTAATTCAGGATAAAACCTAGGTAATGAGTTGTGACCCTTGACCCGAGTTGACCGGATCAACTTGCATCAATATAAAAATAAAAATAATTATTATCATAATTTTAAAATCTTACTAAAGTATCAACCTAAGACAAAGCTCGAATCACTAATCAAGAGGGTTAACCTGGGTTAGTGTAAATATAAAAGTTGTTATTGTCATAGTTTTTAAAACCCAATTGGGAGATCAACTTGGAGTAAGACTTGAGTCACAGGTTGAGATGGTCAACCGAGTCACCGATAAAAACGATTATTATTATAATTTTAAAACTTGACTCAAGAATTGACCCAGGACAAGGACTGAGTCATAGATCAAGAGTGTCGACTCAGGTTCATCCGAGTCAATGTATGTATAAAAATAATTAATTATTATTATAATTTTAAAACTCGATTTGAAAATCGATGCTGGAAAAGTCACAAGTCACGTATCTAAAGGGTTAACACAAAATTTTATTTAAAAAAAAAAGAAAAATGAAAATAACATCATTTTGATCGATTTTTGAAAAAACATTTTGACCCATATTTTATCTTGGATCGTTATATGATCATTTAAAAAAAATCAATGAGTTTTTGACCTTTTTTTTTATCTCAAATTGACCAGGGTTTTGATCAAATCAGGTCAGATCAATCATTTCGTTAATTTTTTCTTAAACTTGGAGTTGTCCAAATCTAGGGTCAACTGATAGATTTTATAATTATATTTATTAAAATATTAATAATTTCAACACTTAATATAAATTAAAGTAGGGGAAGAAAAAAAAATGTAGTGGCTTGGACTCGTGTCCTTGGAAGGATAATTGGGGTTAATGAATCTAGCACATAAATTATAAAAGTAATAATTATTATAGTTTTAGAAAGTAATTTTAGGATTAATTCAGGACAAAACCTAGGTAATGAGTTGTGACCCTTGACCCGAGTTGACCAGATTAACTTGGATCAATATAAAAATAAAAATAATTATTATCATAATTTTAAAATCTTACTAAAGTATCAATCTAAGACAAAACTCGAATCACTAATCAAGAGGGCTAACCTGGGTTAGTGTAAATATAAAAGTTGTTATTATCATAGTTTTTAAAACCTGATTGGGAGATCAACTTGGAGTAAGACTTGAGTCACAGGTTGAGATGGTCAACCGAGTCACCGATAAAAACGGTTATTATTATAGTTTTAAAACTTGATTTAAGGATTGACCCAGGACAAAGACTGAGTCATATATTAAGAGTGTCAACTCAGGTTCATCCGAGTCAATGTATGTATAAAAATAAATAATTATTATTATAATTTTAAAATTCGATTTGAGGATCGACCCTGGAAAAGTCACAAGTCACGTATCTAAAGGGTTAACACAAAATTTCTTTAAAAAAAAAAAAAGAAGAATGAAAACAACATCATTTTGATCAATTTTTGAAAAAACATTTTGACCCATATTTTATCTTGGATCGTTATGATCATTTAAAAAAAATTAATGAGTTTTTGATCTATTCTTTATCCCAAATTAACTAGGATCAAATCATGTCAGATTAATCATTTAGTTAATTTTTTCTTAAACTTGGAGCCATCTAGATCTAGGGTCAACTGATAGATTTTATAATTATATTTATTATAATATTATTAATTTCAACACTTAATATAAATTAAAGTAAAAAAATATCTAATTATTTTTAAAATTATATAAGTTTGATAATAATATATATTAAATGTAAATTAGATTATTTCATATTTTATTCTATCTTATTTACTGTAACTAAACAAACAATATAAAAAAAATCAATATATCTTACCAATATTATCAAATATAATTTATTTATCTTATTTCATTTATCTTCACTATCTTCATCTTTTTAATCTGGGAATTGTAACCTAGTATTAGCCAGAGTGATCTCCTGAATACCACACTATCAAGTAAGGGTGGCGTGTAAGCAAAGGTCGACAGGCCATGGCCCCTCAAATTTTTCAAAATTACTTCAGTATTTGGGTCTTTGGTATATATATTTTCATATATATTAGACTCTTGAAAATTATCATCAAACCCCCACCACTCCTAAAAGAAATTTATAACCTTCCTAAAGTAAAGTGATCTCTTGATATTCTTATCTTGCTCACCCCTCCCTTCACCTAACAATTCAATCCATCCTTCGCCAGCACTGTCAAGAGCTTAATCCGAGACTGAAATTGTGGTGCAACAAAATTAAAAATGAAAAAATATGAAATCCAATCGGTCGGTCATGAATTTGGATACATAAAATATAGATAATATATTAAAAGCTATATACATCAAGAAATTCTTTTTGGATAGAGAAGACAATAAATTCAACTTAAATAATCTTTGAAAAGGTAGCTGAAATCGTATTTAAAAAAATTATTTAAAATTATTTTTTATATTTTAAAATTATTTTAATGTGTTGATATATACCCTCTGTGTGTGTGTATATATATATATATAATTTAAAAAAAATATTATTTTAATATATTTCTAAATAAGAAAACACTTTAATATTATACTTTTTCTATCACACTGCAAAACATTCCAATATCGTAATGGCAGACCTTACTGTGTTTAGATTGCGCAGATGGACCCTTCTCCGGGTCTGGGTTGTTCCCTTAAAATGGCCCGTGGGTGGTCTCTAGAGAAGTCACTTCAATACTCTGTAGAGAAAATCTTGCGGAGAGGAAGTGCTGGATCACGAGTGATTGCTTACCTTCCCTATATGTTGACGCGGGGACGGCCATCACGGAGGGTTTTAACCGTTGATGAGGGCAGATTTTCCTCCCAGATTGACTCAAGTGACTGTGCTATTACCACCTCATGATTAGCGATAGCTTAATCAAAACTTGGTTAATTTCATGATCACTCAGTTAACTACGCACGCTTAACCAAGTGGTTTGTTTCAAGTCATGTGGATCATTTGGTGTTTGACTCTCGTTTTCCTTTTCAATGCATCGTTAATTAGTAGGTGTGAGTAATTTCATATTTGAGGTATGGAGATAACTCTGCGATTTTGTAATGCGTAAATGTGTTCATGTAAGAATATATTTAAATAAAAATTATTAAATTAATGTAGCCGCAATCATGTGGTGCTTCTGACGCGATCTTGACCCCATACAGGTCCTAAATCACATGTATCCGAAATTAGTTAGGTTAGATGATTTGGAGACCATGTTATATTCTTGCAAGAATTAAGAAAATAAAGATACGAGTAGATAATATATTTTTTCAGCTCCAGGAAAATAAACAGGGAGAAATAAGGGTTTTTATAACCGCTATAATTCCAAATTCGTTGAGGGCATGTGTGGGAGTGAAAGTGATAGAACGATGAAGACATCTCACCTGAGCAACTCACTTGGCGTCTCTCCCGAAACCCTACAACGAGGGGGATTCATAGATACACACACACGTACACACAAGAAAGAAACAAATGGTGTGTGGGCACAGGCATAGACCACGGCCCACTTGCTGTTAGGTTAGATTGTCCTGTCTATGCCTCCCTGCAGCTGCCATGTTTCACCAGTTCCTTGCTTCTTTCTCACGTCTTTGAAGTTTTTGTTTCTGATTATATACATACATATATATCAGAGAAAGATTGATGATGGGTTTGATAGATTCTGAATCACTAGCTGTTACAGTTTTCTTTTCTTTCCATATATTAAAGAACACAGCATTGAGTCCAGAAAAAGCCTTGCTTTCCTTCCATTCTGACTTCCCTTCTGATCCTACAGTACACACATCACAATTCATATACATGATAAACTCTTTTCAATAGTGGTTTTTGTCTGTGTGTACATTCCATAATATCTACTACATATTTTATGAATATAATTAATTATGGTGAAGAAATCAGGAGGGGGTCAGACACTAGATTTTGTTCGCCAAAAATTCCAAGGAGGATAGAGGTAAGGTTTTGGTGATCTCGAGAAAGGTGGCTGTGGAGGCGATGAATTGGAGGACAAAAGTGGTGACTTAATCTCTCCCTCACACCATGAAGCTGCCTGACCCAAATCCAGATCATACAATTGGGACAGAGAGAGAGGGGGGACATTAATCTTTTTTTTTTTCCCCTGATGATTATGAATGTTACAGTGTTTATCTGCATGCCCGCAACAGCGAAAGAAAGTAAGCATATAGCATGTCATTTAGAGCACATCAGTGTGTGTGTGTGTGTGTGTGAGAGAGAGAGAGAGAGAGAGAGACGAGTCTATCAAAAAGTGAAGTTAGAAACAGAAGAGATGGACGTTTTACTGATCAAAGCTGTGTACTGCTACATTAAAACCACATATGAATGTATAAGAGAGAGAGAGAATGGAATGAAAAGCATTAGACAGTCGAAGAAAATAAGGAAATTCATAGTCATCTCTCCCTCTCTTCCACCACAAAAAAACATATAAAATAAGTAGTGAAAATTCCATTGTTTCTCCGCACTCATACATACATACATACATACATACATGTGTGTGTGATCAATAAAGTAACACTGCTTCTTTAGCTTCAAACTTTATGTATAGTAGAGTACTGATCAAAAACCGAATATGGAGACATGCCCAGCTTGTGCCTTAATTATTTCTTTTTCTCTTGGAAAAAAAATAATTCAGAGTACTCTAGAGAACATGTTGCTGGTCAGATCAATAATGACGTGCAATGTGAAACCCTAATAACTTCTATAATTTTATGGGTTTAATTTAGGGTTTTCTTTTTCTTAGACTGTTCTTAGGGATTTCTTTTTTCTATAAGAAATGGCTCTCATTCTTCATGCATGATTAAGCACACGAGTGTGTGTGTGTGCGTGTGTGAGAGAGAGAGCAGAGAGAGTAGGCTGCTAGGGTACTGTTAATATCTTTTAGCTTACAGGGGCATACTGTTTTGTCTACAAATATAGGGGATGAGAACAGTTAATGGTGAAGCAAAAGCTGAAAGCCATTACATGGGAGAACGATCACTTTATGAAACGGATCCAATGAAACCAGGAAAAAAAAAACTGTGAGTTACTGTTTTAGTAGATATTTGAAATAGAAAAACCATAGAAACAAGAGGTGGGTGCCTTCACGAGCTGAAAAGGAGAAATATACTATACAAATTAGAGCCCACACATATATTCACAAGCCGTACCCTCCTTTGCTTCAGCCGGTAGCGAAACATGTACCTTCACACGCTGGAAATTGAATTTTTCAAAAGAAGCAGAAAAAGTTACAGCTGCTCATCAAACTCGACCTTTTCTGCTAAATGTTAATTGAGTTTGCATTGTATATATTGAAAGAGCGATGACGCTTTAACATTTCTTCAGAACTGCTTCATGTACTGTTGCGAGTCACCGTTAATATGATAATATGTATAAAGGCCTCGATGAGAAAAACATGAATGATAGTTATGCAAAAGAGAAACTTTGAGCAGTTAGGTGCAACTTTCTCTTTGACCAACATAAAAACAAACTCGTTTCTGTAGTTAGATGCAAGCCGGAGGATCAATTTGGACATCTTTTATACGTATGGGTGTTTTCGAAACCTATGGCTAAGAATTAGTTGAATAAATTTAGCAGAAAAGGTTACCTCAGTGGTCCACTGGAAAAACGCAGAAAGCTAGAAGTAAGAATATTTAAGTGCAAAGGAGGACTAAGCCGTAGACTTAGGCTAGAGAATCCTCTTTATACTTATTTAAGTTTGATATCATTTATTCTCAAACATAAACAATGACAGAGAAGTAGCAACTCCACATGCACATGCCTGAAGTTGCACTAATGACTCAACAAAGGTTTCACACACACCATGCTCTACAGCCTTATTTAGGTCCCAAATAACCATGCTAAGACCACAAGCAGATTACTTAAGTTCTTGGTTTTAGCAGGCCATGTGTATAATTAATTACCAAACCGACCAAATATATTACTATGTAACAACTAGAAGAAGTACTTAATGAAGTATTCTAGCTAAAGAGTCCATGTGAGGCTAGCTAGCTAGAAACCTTATAATACCACACCAAGATGACTCCCTGCAGATCATGCGCCCTCAAGGTAGCTATAAACCCTACATGGGGTTTCTCTCTCTCAATTGATCACATGTTGCCTTCTCCTCCTCCTTCATTGGAATCCCCTGAAGGGTTATCATTCCAAGGAAGAGTATAAGGAATTGGCATGCCTGGAGCTTGATAGTAACCCCCTTCATTGCCCATCCTTCTATTATTATATTCAACCGGCCTTTGACGAGGAGCCATTGATTGAATTGAGCTTGCCCCTGGTGGTGCAGGCAATGCAGTTGGGATTTCATTGCAGGCATAGCGAATCAGATCAGCGTTGGCAGAATCAAGTTCCTTCTGGAGCCTGTGAACTTGTCTCTGGAGAAAGGAGATAGCACCGACACAGCCATAAACCGGGTCCCTTACTCTTGCCTCGGCTTCATAGGCAAGAGAGTTCACTGCATCCTCTCTTTGGTGAGGGAGAAGCTCATTGAGGAGCTTTGTCACATTGCTTGCTCCAAAGATCTTGTGAACATTGGCAAATTTTTGAGGCTCCTCTGGTGGGAAGTAAGGTGCAAAGATACAGCCTGGCATGCATTTTCTCCTCAAGAACTTGCAGGCAGCACAGGGAGAGTTGTAAGAGCTGGATGAAGCCATTTTCTCTGCACAAGGAGAGTATACATAAACTCCATCAGGAATTTTTTGTGATTTTACATAATTGAAGCTCTTTGATCTTATTTCCCACCTCCGATTTTCAGATTTATCTAGAATGTTATGTCAGGTATAATGTATTTGCAGAACTTTTTTCTTTTCATTTAGATGTTTTCTTTAATTTTTCCTCTCTTTTTCTTTCCTTGATTTCTCTCTTCAATTCATAAAGGACTTGTATACTAGGTTTAATATGAAGATTCTGTTAGGTCCGAAAATTAAGTAGAATCATCCCAAATTACTTTACCTAGGCTCTCTCCTATCAAACTCAAATTTGGGAAAATCTCAAATTTATGTGTGTTTGTGTCTGTGCATCCCATCCCACATCTCACTTTCTCTCCATCTGGCAGACACAGAAATCCCTTGTTCTTCTCCCATAAAGAGAGGGAAGAAAACAAAATCTTTGATCTATGCATGCACAGCAACTGAAATCTGAGAATTTACTGACACTTCCCTTTCTTTGGTAACTATATATACTGAACAACCTCACTCTCTTTTTCTTCTTTTTTTTTTCTCTTTCGGCCCCTTCTAATTATGCCTCCCTGCCTTTCTTTCTTTATTTCATTTTCTGTTTAATTCATCCTATTTAATTTCTGGAAAAAAAAAAGAACATTATTTCCTTCACCTCGCCCTCAAAACCACCAAAGCAAGCTTTCTGCATCTCCTAATTTAAATTTTGGTTTAGAATTTGTCTTTTCTATTTAGATTTCCATGCCATTAACATTAACTCTCTTTCTTCTTCTTACTTCTTCACACATAATCCAGGCTGCTACTTAATTTAGAAGAATTCAGTTGCATGATCAATTTTAAAGCCATAATATCCTTGTGAAATTTTCTGAAAATGGGATCTGAATAGTGAATTCATCATAATTGTATATTCATGTCTTTTTTTATATATAGTACATATGAACATAGCAAAGCCCTAAACCAGAGGCTTTAACCCAAAGCACTCTAGTATCTTTTAGCCTTTAGCTTTCCAAAAACAACAAAAACAGGAGAGAACTATTAGCATAGTGAAGGGTTAAAGGAGCTACAAATGCTTACCTGTTTGTGATCTAGCTAGGTTTCTTTGATCATGTGAATAAAAAGAGAAGTACCTTTCTTTTTTCCCGTGGAGGAGCTAGATGTATGTTCTTTGTTCCCTCCCAAGATAAAGTACCTTAGCCAATGAAAGGGAGAAACAACACAGATTTATGGCAGGGGATCCCTCATAGAGCAAAACCCTAAGTACTGAGTGTTGAGAGAAAGAGAGGGAGAACGTAGGGAATTAAGTAAGAGGAAGAGAGCAAAGAACATTTAGTGAATGGAGAAGAAATGGAAGCAAAAGACAAAGGTGATAAATGAGAGGTACACTATAAAAGAAGGACTATGACCCTGCATCTAATAATAATATCGAGGATGTGGGGATGTCTCCCATTTTCATTCCATCATGTATGCCTTTCTCATGCACTACGGTAATACGTATTTTTATTATAAAAAGGAAGAACAATTGACAATCTAATCAAGAACATTAACTAATTAGATCCCTCTTTTTGCTGCAACGTAAGGTGTTATTAGTAAAGTGGACAAGAATACTGATTGCGTATGGTTGAATAGATCAAACAACTAATCATAAATGTGATTACTTTAGGTTTTCTTCTTAAATTATTAACCTGGAAGGAGAAAGAACCTTTTGATTTTTTCTCTCATATCAGATGCACAAACAGTATATGTACAGGATTAACTATAATTACACAATTATGATTTATATCTCATTTGGATACCCTAATCCAAACCCTAATCCAATAATTTTTTTTCTATAAATAATTTTTTCTTTGTTTTAAGCCCCATTGTTCGTTGATAATTATATATATATATAACACCAATCCAAAAGGCATTAATAGTGTCTAAGAACCACTTACCGGAAAAGCCTAAAAGAGAATAAGAATAGTGGAGTTTTAACTCAAATTAAACTACTTGGTTGATGAGATTTCGAATACAAGATGAAAGCGAGCATTTTAGTTAAAAAGGAACCTTTGCGACTGATCACTCGGGAGCTTATACACTTAGGTGAAGGCCTAAAATAGGATTTCAAGATTTAACACAGGCATCTCGAGCTGCTATATATTCTTCTAGATTGATCATTCTTTTGTCTTCTTATAACATTCAGAATATATGAGACTAATGGAAGATGAACCCTAAAGTTTGTATAATTGCCACCCATTTTCATTTAAAAGATTTTAATTGGTGTGCCAATTGGGAATGGGCAATCCAAATGAAGATTTCCTAATCAGATACTACTCCTGCAGAACTTGATCATATACCAGAATGGTAGCACCTATTATTGATATTATTATTGTGGTAAATGTCTATATACTCTTATTTGTGTGAATGTTGTTCCTCTTCACTGGGTAATTCTTTCACTATATATATATATGCCCTAGCAAGGACTGGACTTGCAGTCTGTACATTTTATATACCTGTACAAACTCGGTAAGAGTGCACAGTTGGCTTGTCTTCGATCTATATTCATATGTGTGAGATACTTTGCATTGGATTAACACAGAATCAACAGCTGAATAAGCAAAATGAGTGCCGTATATATGATTCTTTATATGCGGTACGGTGTAGTCCTGTAAAAAAAGTCCACAATCATCACTATCTACTGAGTTTTGATCCGTCCAGTCCCAACAAATTACCTTTTTTGCTCATACCACGCCAGTCAATAATTTACAGAATCTGTGATCAGTAATGCCTTGGTATGTTGTCACAGTACGTTTCCATGTGGTTAACATTCAAACTGGTTGCAATTGATGAATATGGAGGCAAACCATATCTTCCGAGTTTTCTGTGTGTTCTTCATGAGAAAAACATCTAATTGACGCTTACAGTTTTTGTCAACTAGCCAGGCTTTGGAGAATTATGAAACCAGAGGGATCATGACACTGCTAATTGCAGTGACTGTCACGTTTTAAGATTGAAGATTTCTGCTTTTGGAAAAAATGGACTGTGACCACTTTTGTAATCCTCAAAATCTAAATTACTTAAATATTTTAATTATTAAAAGATGGAGTCATTAATCTATAAATAACACTCCTGCGTTTTGATTTTTTTTTATCAAGTGAATCAAACGCTGTAATTAAATAAACAATGTCAAATACAAGACCAAAGTTTATATATGACTTTTTTTTTTTGTCTAAAGATTGTACTTTGGAACTCACAAGAAGTTAAAAAAGTGATATTATTCTATGATGAAATGTTTTTAAAATTCAAGTGTTTGAAGGATTTGAAGAGTAGCCGTCTTATACTAAATTTATTAAGACCATTTTTGTTATAATAATCGAATGTATTAATTAAAAATAATCATTTAAAAGATATAAAAGATAAAAATAATCCTTTAAAAGATATATATATATATATATATATATATATATAAGTCAATTGACTAGCTGGTTATTAAGATTAGATGTACAAGAGAATTTATGGGTGATCATGACACAATAAAAATTGAGATTATTAATTATTATAGGTATATGTAGATTCTATGCATAACCTTAACATCAGTCTTTTCACAGTACTAAGGTTTCGGAGAGTAGACGTTATTTTGGTTTTACTTCCATTCACACAAGCAGTCTTTTTTAGGACTTGGTTGTATTCACAGTGATTTTAGATTGAGTCCTGGTGGTTAAAGAAGAAGCCATCAAGTCAACCCCCTCATGTTCTTGAAGAAGAGATTTGTGATGATATCATAAGCACTTCATTTCATATTTGAGGACTTTTTTTTATTATTATTTAGCAAAAATGAGTGAACCTACTTAGATTTCTTGTAACATGGATAAACTTCAGTGAGGATGTGATGCCTTAAGTTATTGTAGGAGAATTCCCTATCAACTGTGTGTTTCATCAGCATACATGTTTCTGCGAGCTCTTTTTCAAACCACTAGCTATCTAGGTGGTAGGTGTAGTATAGTGGTCCAAGTTTCTTAGGGTTCCTGTCACGAATCGGCCGGAATTCTGATGATAGAGCAATGGAAATTGCTACATCCAGTGACTGTGCCTCTGAGTTTTTGTTACAAATTTAAAGCTAAGGTCCCCCTTGAAAGTGTCATGGCTGGCATGGCTATTTCTAGGTTATGATGGTTCTTTTGTAGAGGTAATTTGGTAAAGTAGCATCTATAAGGGCTTCATCAGAGGGTTCTTGTGAAGATAAGCAGTAGATTTTGTAGAACATAATTCATCAAAGTGAGCCTTGCTGCATGCTAGAAAAAGAAAGATAAGTGCTTGCTGACTTAGTCGAAGAATATATTGTGTCTAAAAATGGAATTGTCGTATTAAATTATGTTCAGTGCTGCGGTAGATCGAAGCATAGACCAGCTGACAACAATTAATTAATTATTTCATTATACAAACAATTTCACTACCAATAAGCCTCTATCCTACCGTATGGAGATCAAGTTTGAATTATTTCCATGGAGTATTTGAATACTAAAAAATACAGAATGTTATGTGATTCAGAAAAATTAGTAATTAAAAGTGCTAATCTCTTGTATATATTATTCAATTAATTTAAGTATATTGCTGCTTTATTCCATTTATATATCTTAAGATATCAATAAGAGGATTGAAATCTCCATGTCCATTCTAACTGCTTCGCAGAAGAAAACATTAGTGAATTATTTATTTTTTTCCTCAGAAAAGAAAACATCAATTAGTGAATTCTTCTAAATGTCAAATTGTGATGAAACTTATCATAGATCAGTTGCTAATTAATAAATTAAAGTGACTTATGCCACTAATTAACAAGATTATCAATAAGAGGGTATAGTTGATTTTGTAAAGACTACAACAAAGAAAGCTATTTAGTTTTGAAGAAACTAACATAACACAAACACATCCTGTCTTAAAAAAAAAAAAAACTTTATTTTTTTTCAATAATTCAATTATCTAAATTTAGAGATGCACGCACAAACCAGAAGAAGGCTTTTGTGGAAACAAATTATTTTTTTTATGAATGCAATTACACACACACACACACCAAAGGAAATAAATATGATAACCTAGTAGATTTTAATTCTATATGAAAACTAGGATTATAACTAAGAATATATAGTATAAGAAACAACATTAAGATTTGTAAATAAATTGTTGTCCTTTCAATATATATATAAAATAATGGTGAGCTATACTAAAACTAGAAGAAGGGGCAAAGTAGCTGTTTGAGCATGAAAAAGAATAACAAGGGACAGTACTACAGTCTTCCAGAGAGTGGGGCATTCATGAGAAGGATAGGTGTTGTTGCCTCTTGTAACTACTAGTGTTGCTCTTGGTCTCTTTCACTTCTCCGACCATTCTTCGTCGGCTCCTGTTCTGAATTAGTGCCCTCTACCCCCACCCTCCTCCCTCCAGGGATAAGAGTTTTCGTTTGTCAATCCCCATGTCTCCATGTGTAATGTGTAAGCTAATCATATGAGAGAGAAAGCTTGCATAAATTACAAAGGGCTGGGGGCCATGGCCCCTCCATCACCAAATTTTCTCAGTCACTCGATCCTCCTCCTATTCAGCTGTCAACTACCCCTCCTATTAATTCCTACTTATCAATCACCATGTCCCTCTTTCTTCTCTTTCCCTCTTTTCTTATGCAAATCATATTCAAATAAACATAAAAATGAGCGGGTGAGACGAGAGAGATTGGAGGATTTGATAGTTCTTATCGGCCACACATCTCTCATAATTAGATCATACATGAAACATATTAAACTTGATTATAAACTAGCTAGTGGAACAAGGCTAAGATAAAGAAGACACATATCCGTCCTAGATAAACAGTCTTATATAAAACAAACCCATCATTTTCAATTAAATCGTGGGATCAATCTCAAATTCAATCAATTTTTTTTTATAAAATTAGTTCTTTAGGAGGAGAAGATGATGGTTATAACTAGGTGAGTTCAAAAAAAATTAAATTGGAGTTGTAAAATACGGTTTGGGTTATTTTTATTATTTTTTATTGTTAATTTAATTTTAGATTATATGTACCGGTACATCATAATAATATATTCTAGTTAAATTTTAAAATAAATGAAAGTTATCATAAAATAAATCACATGTTCCTTTAATTCATCAAAAAATATCAATTAGTTTATATATAATATTGTTGTAAAACTTACCTTAAAGGTTGACCCAAGATAAGGCACAAGTCATAAATCATAAATCAGGAGAGTCTTTTTTTAATTTTTTTTTAAAAAATAAAAAAATAAAAATGATGTTATCTTGATTAAAAGAAAAGGAATATCTTTTTTCAAAAAAACCAAGTTAACAAGTTAAAGGTTAGGTTTTTTTCTAGATTAACGAATTAGCTCAAATTTTTTATCAATTAGTCCAAGCCTTGAGTCAACATAGTTCAAAGTTAATCTATTAGGTCTATCTAGAATTTATAACTATGCTTAATAATATCAAACCTAGTTAAATATACGCTAGGACCAAAGAAGATGGTTCTCAATCTAGATTTTTTTTTTCTTTTCCAAAGCATATGCCTTCTTTTCATATCATATTTCCACATTAACAAAATAACAAAACAAGAAAGAACATTTGCTGTAGTATTTTTATTATAGCTTTAGACTTATTATTGCTATAGATTAATGAAATAATAAAATTATAATTTTACTCTTCTCAACAAACGAATTGGTCTTGGCAGTGAGGGTGATAAGATTTTTTGTTGTTTTTAGCGCAATGAAATAACCGGAATGCTATTTTAAGCAAAAAAAAAAAAGAATTCGCATAAAAGGATATTAATGGCTTTTACTTCTTATAGCATAGTAAAATAATTAATTTTTTTTTAAAATCAATTTATCATAGGCTTGCATCCAAAGGCTCTCTGGCGTTTTATTATGGCTTTTTATTATTAATTTTAAGTTAAATTATAGGAAATTTGGTATTTTAGTAGGCATTAAATATTATTTAATATTAAAAAGTTGTTGGTGCATTCTATTCACGCGATCACTCATAGGCATGTTCATGTTATTCGGATGATACACGTAGCGTCGTCTCCACAATAACTATTTGAATTTTCATGATGACTCCTAAAAATCATTGAGCGGCACATGTGCCGAACTTCTTTCTGTTTTGGCTCCAGTTGTCTTTTTGTTTTTTCTTTTTCTCTCTCTCTTTTTCTTAATTGATTTCCATGCCTTCAATTTATTTTTTCTTTTAGAGTTGATCCCTGTTTTTTTTTAATAATTTGTTTTATTTTAAATAATTCATGGAATTGAAATTTTCTTTCAATTCCATCCTCTTATTTTTTATATCTATTATATTTGATCTTTATTATTTTGATTGTTATTTTTTTAATTGAATTTGATTCTTATTATTTTAATTGATATATTTTTTTTATATCCTTTCATATTCAATTTTTTTTCTAATTTTATCTCTCAGTATTTTGTTGATTGGAAACTTGGATTCATGGTATTTTTAGGTGTGCCTTTTATGAGGTGATTTTTGTTTTAAAATCCGAGTCACGAGTTTAAATGGTTAGCATGGATATACTTGAGTTTTTTTAGGTTCTTTTTGCAATTGAATTTTTTGGATCACATTCTTATATGAGGTTATCCTTAATATTGTCCTTGTATTAAAAAAATTGTAAATGTAAAAAAAAAATAGATTGTTTAAAAATTAATTATTTTGGTCAATTTGAATTTTAATATAATTAGTCTCTTGGTCTTTTTTTTTATTTTATTTTTCTCCTATAAAATTTATTTTATTTTTATTAATATGAGTATTCGGATCAGCTTACTCATATTTCAACTAATTGCAAGGACTTTGAAATTAATGATAATATAAGTTTTTAATAGCGTATTTCAATTAATTACAAGGACTTTGAAGTTAATGATAATATAAGTTTTCAATAGCCCTAAAAGAACTCAAACTCATAACCATTGGAAAGAAAATTTAAGATCTAACTAATTAAATTATCTCTCAAGATTCCTAAAAAAACTTAAACTCATAATCATTGGAAAGAAAATTTAAAATCTAACTAATTAAATTATCTCTCAAGATTTTTATAAAGTATTTTTCTCATTTGGTTGTTTTTTTTTTCTTTGTGAATGGTACTATTAGTATCATTAATTATTCAAATAAATTAATTCCCACGGAAGGATTATATATAATAGAAATTGTCAAGGCTCTGTTTTTCTTGATTTGCGCCAACTTGATAAAAATATGGGGCCCTAAGAGATTATAATCTACCAAACTAATGATTAATATTTACATTTAATATTGCAAGAAGACTATATTGTTATATCATATCATGTCATAAAACATCAATCCCTCTCCTCCCATTATAATATTGTCTTATTATAGTCCTTAGCTAAGATTTAGACCCGAAAAAAGCAACAAACTGTTGTAGCATTAGCGTGCCCTCCTGCCTCTCTTCACTCACTCATCTCATTCAACTACATGTACCCCATACCCGAATACCCCTTTTTTTTATTTTATTTTTAAATTCTTCACCTCTACTTCCCTTTTATTCATTCAACTTGTTTTATTTTGTGTCGAGAGCGTCAAGACTAAAGAGACTGCCATTTTTGCACGCCTGCCGACTTGCTATCCTTGTTAAATGTGGGTCAGATGTGGTTATTTAACAAGAAACACTTTATTGAAGATAATTTTAATGAATACATACCAAAAAAGAATGTTTGAGAAAGTTCATACCCCATACTGCGTTGCTTGTTTACATGCTTCATTTGTTGATAACAAGGGCCATGTATCATCTTGTGACTGGTTGCAATACAAAAAACTCAGTAGTGTTTTATATTGTGTTAGTAGTTGTTTTAATATATATATATATATAAATTTATATATATATAATAAAACAATCTAAAAATATTAAAAAACAATTGAAAATTGAAAATTTTCATTAACATTTTTTAACGGCAAAAACATAAAATTAAAAAAATTGAAAAGTTTCATTAACATTTTTTAACGGCAAAAACAAACGAACATAGTAGTAGTGGCCCCTTTGATTTTGAACCAAAATTTTGGTTATTCTTGACAAGAAATAAAATAATATTGTGCCAACTTCTTTTAAAAAACTTGATGGCTTTAATGATATGATAATTATCTTTGGTCCTTAGATTATCTGGTACATTACATGCAGAATAGCACTAGATAGATATGATAATAAACAAAAGTAATTGAACTTGTCAAGTTATCATTTAGCACACGGTATTCCAATGACATCCTCGGAAACAAAAGCAGAGATTCGGTTTCAAGTTAAAACAAGAAAGAAAAAGAAATCGCCATAGAATTGCATGGGATACTTGATTTTCTTCCCAGCTAGCTGGGCTCAAAGTGGGGATGAGCTTGAGCTTGAGCTCATTGGTTATTATATGGTCTTACACTAAGCTAAACAAAGCTTAGTTAGCGTTTATGGGCTGTCCTAAACAATATATTCTCGCTTCCAAGTCCTTACTTTGATAGTGCATTAAAAAACCCATCATTCTGCTATAATGCTTTCTAATTAATGAGCCTCTCAAGCTACCTGAAGGGGTTTCTAATAAGCTGACGACCTATAATCTTAACGCCTTTTATATTCAGGAAACAAGATTCTGATTCTTTTTTGTATAAACAACATACAGATTAGTACAGGAAAAGGAGATTTAATGTACCAGCTAAATGCTAGTTTGCAGTTTAAACCCTTTCAGAATGTGCACAAGATGAAAGGCCCGCCCGTAAGTCAGTCTTGGTAAAGCGCACAACGAATTTTCAATGAGACTGACAATGGACAAGAGAGGAGCTTCGACTCTAACAAGTTTTCAGACGCAAGAGACTCAAACCAAACCCATCTTATTAACTAAGGCTGCTAGCCCTGAAAGCTTCCCAACTTGTACTTCTAAAGTTCTATTCTCAGCCGTGAAAATTTAACAGACAAATTTAATGCAGCAAGCTTTTTATTAAAAAACAAATGAAAGGAAGAAAAGGCAAGACTTTCAGCAAATAGATAACACAGAAATTAGCATCAACAAGCAGTTTCATGGCAGAATGACCAGCATACCACAATCAACAGGTCAAAAAGCCAAATCCAACATTCCTAGTATAGCAAAGAGAGTGCAGTATACGTTACTTGAGCGTATGCAGTGAAGATTTTCAGCACCATTGCTGTTTCATACACTGCTTACATGCTTTAGTGAGCTCAAATCATGTATAAAATCCTACGCAGGTCTGACAGTTAATCTGATTTTGATGTTCACATAAAATGCCCAGCTAAATAACCTCGAAACTTTCTGTTGTGGCAAAACCAGTAGCATTCACTATGATAAGTCTCCTCCCAGTTCCACGTGACCATCTTAAGTTTGCTCAACATATCTGTTGATAATATGAAAATAAAAATAAAATCAGCATTGAGGAAAACTTCAGAACAGAATATGACCTTTATACCGACACTTCAATGAATGGCATGCCTGAGTTCTATTGAGTTTGATTTGCACAGGTACTTTTCACTACTACATGCAGACAATAGAAAAACTAAAAGGGCTCTTCTGGCCATTAACTTAGTTTTGGCAATTGACTCTCTCCAGAAGTCGGCAAAGATAAATAGAAAAACAAGAAGCATTTAAGATCATAAGCTCATAAAAAAAAAAAGTTAGGAAGAACTAACACATTAAAGAAATTTGGAATGCAGCAGCAATGAATCGGACATAAAAAAGTTCATGAGCTATGAACTTTACGTCCTTGCATATTTATTGTCCAAAGCTTCTAAGAGCCACACATGTCTGAAATTTGTAGGACATGGACTTCTTGCACACAAGTGAAATCATAAGTGGTGCATGCCTAAGCTCCAAGAGTGCAATTTGAAAATAGAAGCAATTCACTAACCATTGAAAGAAGAACCTGTCATGCAACCCTGCAAGTAGATGAAAGAACACAAAATGATTCAGACAACTAATGTTAGCAAAGACTGAATATAATACAGATAGTACTCAAAGGTGCTGAGATGTAGTAATGTCACTCTATCACTTTTGATAGGAAGGATATAAATTCATGCAAAGCTCCCCAAGTAACAGAGTGTGATATAGAATTAGCAAATCCATCAGAAATCCACGAATCCAGATTACAGAGTTGAAAGAGTACCCCTATTTGGAAGCTGAGGTCACATGGCAGGGGCATTGTCGCGGGTTCTGCCATTTGAACATTGTCACCAAAAATTAAGGATCTTTGAATAATACACATCTTATATGGGGAAGCAAAGGTCATGGTGCTTTTAATTGTTGTACCTTGTTTTGCCTTGGTGCAAGAGCCTGAGAGATGAGCGGAAATACTGGCAGGCAAGGGCGCAAGTGTGGCTGCTGAGCGCTGAGTCATGAGCAAGAGTGGCTACCTTAGGATATGTGTATTGCATGCATCCATAGTTTGATGAAGGCTGTATTGGAGGTTCGTATTTGAAGAGGAGTTATATAGTAATACAAGCAGCTACCAGTGAAATGGATCAGAGTTGAGAAATAGTAAAGCTACCAGTGAAATGGATCAGAGTTGAGAAAGTACCGGCATTCGGAAGTCATGCTTTATAGGTAATGTTGGTAGTTTTGCCATTTTAACATTGGGACTTTCAATAAGCAAACAGGTAGCTCATAGTTAAGGAAGAATCTATCAATAATACATGTTTTATATGGTGAAGCAAAGTTCATGAACATATTAATCCCTGTACCTTGTTTTGCCTCCATGCAAGAGTCTGATAGGAGAGCAGAAAAGGTGGGAGGCAAGGTCGCACATGCAGCTTCTGAGTGATGAGCAGGTGCAGTTGCCTCAAGAAAAGTGTACTGCAAACTTTCAATACTGGATAAAGACTGTATGATCACAAATGCCAACAGGAGTTGCATTGCTTAATTTCTCAGCAGTTCTGAATAAAGATTATAAGCATCAATTTCAATCTAACAACGTGAATTCTAAAGTAATTTTGGATTATCTAAAGACAAAAGTCAGCTACCATGCATTAGCAGACATGAATTATTCATCACCCGTCCTGAATTCCATTTGAAGAGATACGCTCAGATGGAGGTGAAACATCTGATCCAAGTTTGCTGCTTGGAAGCCCAACATTTCTGATAGCCTTCAAACTTTACAGAGCAGAATAAAAATAGCAAATTACCAGTTGATTCAAATAGCCTTAACCTTATTGAAGATAATTAAATTGGCATACAATCTGTGTTTAGATGTTTGGAGGACAAATTGGGTTAAGCAGTTTTTCTAGGCATAAACTTAGCATAATCCCTACAAAATAATTGGAAGATGGCTCTAGCACAACTTTGTCCAACGTTTTGTTTCTTATACCTTGAAAGTATTCCAAACGCTATACAACTGATGTGGAGTAAATATTTCATCAAAAACATTCGAATGATAGACAATCACACAATAATAGGGTTCCAAAGGAACTTTGAACAAATCATGAATGGGTCATTCCCCTCCTTTATAACCTTATTCCATATGGTTTTCTTTCATATCTAACTCTTTTTATATGCACTAAAGTCCTCCATAAAACATGAGGAAGGCAAACCTTAAAAAAAAAAAATAAACACATGAATGCTTGCGAGTCAGAAAATGCTAAAAAGCACATAGCAAACTTTTGGACCTACAAGCAATAAAACGTAATTGATAGCAAAGGCATCAAAATATTTCAAGTGCAAACAAATGAAAAAAGCTGGATTTTATATGTGGGTTTTCTAACTAATTTATAGCAAGTCAAAAGTTTCATATTAAACTCAAAATACCCAACCATGCAACAACTAGCTTACGCATCATAGAAAAGAAGTTTGCCTGGCCTAAACCATCTCTGTAACTAGCAAATACAACTCTACTACCTCTAACAGGGCATGCCTCCAAGCATGACACCTGAGGCCAAAAGAAAACCGGCTTGGAGATTTAGTGTTCTTCCTGTCAGATATAGACACATTAGCATGTTCAACCAAGTCAATAAAGAAAGATAATTAAGATAAATTTATTGACAGTAAAATAATGTGATTAACATGGACTTCTCTGTTTACTAATGAATTTCAAAGCATAAAATTAATCAATCTAGATGCCGATGAAGAGGGTAATTCCAATTTCATTTCAGTTTGATTTTACCCACAACCAAAATGTAGCCATATATTGGTATGGTCCATTGTTATAACGTGAGGCCATAAAAAAGCAATCCAACAAAAACAACCCAAAAAAGGAAAAATCCCTTTTAGACCATTTCAGAGAGAAGAAACACTAGCAACTAAAAAATAGAAAGAATAGGCGAATACACTAAAACCCACATAGATTTTGCCTATAAAAGTGACAGCATTTTTTTTTTAAAATCAAAGATGAGTTGCACAGAGGCCATTGAAGAAGCAGAGACCCAAACACCAAAAGGATTGTCTATCATGCACCCACCTTGAATAAAAAGCTGAGGCTGGAGAGTGTGACATGTTGATGATGGGAGAGAAGGGAAGATGAAGAAGAGAGAGTAACGTATCTGCCATTACTCTTTCATGATGATAGTGGTTAGGGTTGCATCCTTCAGGTTTTGCATTCCACCATTTCATGCAGAATAAAATATCTATGAACTGGTGAGCCAGGGAATGGTTCAAGCAGATGATGAACGCCAAGAGAATGGAACTAAAGTCACTGTTTCCTCTCCTTAACGTGTGTTTCTTTGCGATATCTACATAACAGCTCATCCCAATTCAGATTTTTCCATCCCACATAAAGCAAGCTGTATTTTAACTCCAGATATGACAAAAGGTGCGCATAGCTTAAACAATATCTGACCCTGGTCTATATTTTTGTTTGGGAAGCAGGAACTTTCTGAAGATGGCTGGCTGAATTTCAAAGGGGCAAAATTTTTGCAGGTGCTAGATATAGAAGATGCCAAGATCAAGGGACTACCAGTTGAAGTAGGAGACTTGATTCACCTGACATTCTTGGATTAAAAAACAATGACATAAACAAGCTTCCAGGCAAACTTGGTAATTTGTGAGCACTATGAGACTTTGGATATCAGAAGGTGTGGGGACTTGACAGAATTATCAATCGAGATCCTAAAGCTTGTAAGACTGAGGCACTTCTAAATGTTAAAGAACAAAAAAAATTTGTGGGATGAAGCTAGCAGAGGGAATAAGTAGATTTGGAAGTCTCCTCACCCTCACTGGTGTACATGCTGGTGGTGACATTGCAGGAGAACTAGGTAAGCTGACGCAGCTCAGAAGGCTGGGAGTGATGGATGTTGCTGAAGAGAATGCAAGGAAGCTAAATGCTTCCATAATGGAGATGCAGGGTCTTCTTTCCTTGTCTCTAGAAGCAAAATATACTTTTGACCAAGGGCAACTTGTCCTCTGGGATTCATTGTCACCACCGCCTCTTCTTCGAAAACTTTGGCTAGAAGGACCTCTAGAAAAAAAATACCAAACTGGCCTGGATCAATCAATAGTCTTATAAATCCAGGGCTAGGTTATTCACATTTATCTGAGAATCCAACATCAGTTCTTCAGGTCCTACCTAATTTGAAAAATTTAACAGTGTAGTATGATTATGATGGAAGGTAGTTGGGGAAAGACTTCTGCAAGGCTGGTGGATTTCCCAAGCTTGAGGTTCTCATCATCGCTTTTCATGTTCTTGAGGAATGGACCTAGCTTGAGGAGGGAGAACTACCAAGATTACAGTAGCTTCACTTCCATAGCTGCTCACATATGAGGATGCTCCCTGAAGGTTTGCAATTTGTCACCACATTGGAGCAATTGGTTTTAATGCCTTTGCTTGATGAGCATGAAGAAAGATTGAATTTTACAGCAATGGTAGCTTTTACAAGATGAGGCACATTCCAAAGATAACATTCATCCCTACATCAGTGGTAGCTTTTATGTTCAATGAGCAAGTCAGCGCTTTCCCCCACCCTCCACCCCCCAATGACAGATGAATATACAGTTTTATGCAGGTTGGTTCTAATTTACATATTAGACAGTAGTGTATTCAGAACAAGCCACAATTTTCAGTAACCTCCTTTCTATAATGTATTCATGTGTTAATGTCATCTATCTGATACCTTTTATAGTTAAGGAGAAATTTTGGCAAGTGCTATTTTGGGATTCATGGTGAATTAAACAACTTGATACTAAAAACTTCACCATATATCCAAAACCAATCAGATCCTAATGCATGAACCAGCAGAAAAGGAGCACTAAGTTGCATTTTACATCATTACAGTTGTTTTGCATGACTCAGTCCCCATAAAAGTGTTAGCAAAAGAGCTTTTTGTTATATCATTGTTGTTGTCCTTTCTTGTTTTTGTCATTGTTACCATTGTTTATGAGAACGTGGAAACAAGAGATTGAGTACCAATTATTGAAACTCCCTCCTGTAAAGGCGTTAGTGGAAAATATACACAAAACATATGTTACTCCTAAGAAATTATAATGGATGCTCTGAGTGGCATGTGCACAAAGAGACTATCTTTATTTCAAACCAACCATTCCAATTCAAAATGCATCCATCTAGACAAGTAACAGAAATGTAAAGGAAAGAAAAATCTACATTCCAGTTTGAGCCAGCTTTGCTAATATTCATATTGTTTTTTGAAAATCATAATGAGCTTTTGAATGAGAATGTGGTAGTTAGCTCTGACCTTTATCATAGATTGCTGGATGGAGGAAATAAACAAAGACATCAGGAGTGAGAATCTGGACCTGATTTTAAAAGGAATTCTCAGTAACACGTATTATCTTTTCAGATCCATCCCAACTAATACCGGGCATTTTCCTTCGGCATTTGTTATATATGGCTCACCATCCAACCTCTTATCACCAGCATAAATGTTCAAAAGCATAAATCTGTAAGCGCCACATTCAGCTCTTAATTGAAAAGCTTCTGGGTTACAATTTCTCCCAACTCAGAATTCCCATTAGCATTTACACCATGACATCAATGCTGCCTGCATGCCAGAATCCACTGGTTGCTTCAAGGACAATAACATTATGTTCCACGTCCCCCTCCATCCGGAGAAGCTTTACAATGTGAAAATAATGCTCAATTCTATCTTGGGAGCAAAACTCATCCTGTCATCCTCCTAAAAATCTCCCAGCCATCTTTAACCAGGCCAACATGGCAACAGGCAGAAAGAGAGAGAGTAGCCTGACATGGTTTAAACCCGATTTATAGCATCTAAAACATTTCAAAAGCTTGGGAAGTAAGGACGTGGAAGCCAAGACCTAAGCTAAGATTATTGAATTTGTAGGAATGTATATTTCTGTTTGGCATATTCTTAAAGACACAAAGCCCCAAACCCACAAAACCACGCTCAGAATACATATCTATAAGAGCAGGAGAAACCATAATATTTTATCCAAATCCATGTACATAACCATGCATCTCAGTAGCTCAAATCCATGTCCATGTACATAACCATGCATCTCAGTAGCAGAACCTACATTTTCCAACTGAGTGGCTACCACCAATACACTACAAATCAACACAGAATCTGGCTACTTACCTTCCAAATTCTGATTCCTGTAGAAAAGCAATGGCTTCTTGTATTCTCCAGACTAAAATCATTTATCAAAGTATACCATATTACTAAAATCAGTTAAACTAAACTTCTAAATGCACCATATGTGCAGAATTCATGCACCTAAATCTTGAATACATGCTCACTCACAAAACGCAGTGCCTACACTATCATTACAATCAACAAACCACTTTTGAAGCATAAATTCCTTGGTCAACTTACAGCAAGCTAGAATTCAATAGTCCCCGAGATTAACCCAACAAAAGTATTCCAAACTGGTTTATGCTTTCCATTGCATCTCACTTCGTTAAAAAATTGCAACCCTTTATACAAAATCCTCATAGAATTCCACTATACTAAATCCGGCTCAAAACCCCCCCAGAAAACACCCTGCTTGTTTCAACAGCAAAACCCATTTTTCAAAAAGATGGCACTACGAAACACAGGATCCCATTCCAACCTAGAAACTAATGCTGCTGCTCCACGTACAATTCTGAATCCATCCTCATAGACATTCATGTAATAAGTGACGTAAAAGTAAACTATCAGGCTTGATTTCACCATTAACAATCTTTATCTTTATTACTAATGCATCTTCAAATATGTGAGCCTGTGCACAAGCACCGATCATGGAATTTCCATAGCTAAAGCTACTTTGAGGAGTTTTATCGAACATGTTAGGAGTATTATGTAGGGCTGTGGTGGAGGGGTAATTGAGAGTTCTAAGCGAAGAGCGAGATTGAAAGGTCACATGCAAGTTACTTTGGTATAGGGGAGTTGCTATGATTCCTTACAATAGTTAAATTTCTAAATATAAAACCGCATCTGGTGTCGCGTTTGTAGTCCAACGGTTAGGATAATTGCCTTCCAAGCAATAGACCCGGGTTCGACTCCCGGCAAACGCAATTTAGCACAATTTTGCAGAGAATGAGAATCCCAGACTTGCAAAACATTTTTTAATATTTATTATATTATGAAAAATAATTTATTAATATTTTTTTATATTTATCAAAAAATTAAAGATAAAATTTGATATAATTAATAAATAAAAAGATAATTTTTATTCTCTTGTAATTTCTTAAAAGTATTTTTCATTAAAAATAAAATAAAAATATTTTTTATAAATTAAGCTAAATTTTTTTTTTTTGAAAAATATTTTTTATTTACCAATATTTTTAAAATAATAAATAAATACTAGAAACTCTAAAAAGTAATTTCTAAAAAACTATTTTTTATTAAATAAATGAAATCTAAAAAGTTCTTTAACTTTTCACCTCATCTTTATTATAACACTTACTTTGAGACGAGTCATTATTTGATATAAAATTATTAACAAAAAATTAAAAGATGAGCCCTACTCACAAAATATTATTCATTAGAATAATATTATATATTTTTTTTAATTTCAATTTTATCCTTCAACATTAGTTTTATTGAAGATTGGACTTCATAATTTGTTTTAAGTTATTTTTTATGAGGTTATTACAGTTTTATAATTCAAACTACAGGTTTAACAAGTTAACTTAATTAACTCGAGTATTTTTTGTTTTTTTAAATTGAATTTTTTTTCAATCTTGTCCTTTAACGTTAGGTTGATTAAAAATTAGATTTTGCTATTTATTGTAGTTTATTTTTTATAAGATTATCCTTATTTCATGACTCTCGATTACGAGTTTAACAAATTAATACTTCCAAGTTCATCTAAGGATATTAGAGGTATAGTAAGCGTCATAGAATTTAATATTAGCATTATTGAGTTCGTTACTGGCATCATTAGCAACATTTTATCTATAATTTATACTTATCACATGCATGTTTTAATTATGTTAATATGAGATATATAATAAGAAATTGTTAATAGATAAGGACAACAAAAAAGAGGTCGTGGAAGTATAAATTGTGGCGGTAAATTCTAGATATTAGTTAGAGTTTTTGCAATTACTAAACAAAATGTTTGTTTTTGCAATTACTAAACAAAATGTTCAATCATCAAATACAATGATGTTAAGAATTCTTTATAAATGAGTTGATATTAGATATATATATTCTTTTGTGTCACCTCACTTTGCTATCAGATTTAATAAATCTTATTTGTTACAATTATTTTGTTTGTTAGTTGATGAAAAAATAGATATAAAATTTATACATGACTTATGTGAGGTTATGGTAAATGATAATAGGCTACTAATAAACTTACTACTATTGGATTTTTGGATTTTGATGTGATATTAAAAATATATTAATTGTCTTGTTATTATATTTCTTTATATTATTGGAGTAAAATGATGATATTTAGACCCCTAAACAAATCAAAATTTGTATTGATTATAAAAGGTTTAATTGGGTAGCTATTCATTTTAATTTTTTTAAATGAAATAATAATATTTATTTTGAATAGTCATTTGATTCAATTCGCTTAAAGTAATCATTTTTTTTTCACAAACAATATTGATGTATTCTAAGGTGAAACACTAGGATAAATGAAACTCATATCAAGAAAATTATTTATTTAGTTATTTTAACTTCACAAGCATCATTCTATAAGGTGTCTAGATATAGGCTCAATTCTAAGAACCAAAGAAATATAATCTTATCTTTATATGATGGTAGTCGATATAATTTATAAAACAAAAAAAATAAAAAATTTCTTAACCACTGAAATTTAATCTGAATTTTATAGTTAATAAAATGGTAAGATTGTTGGCAATCTATTATCATCTACAATATCCTCACGAGTCGTACACAAATTTTATATCTATTTTTCATCAATTTGAGTGCTAACAAAAAAAAATTCTTGTAAATAGGGTTGTTTATTAAATCTCATGACAAAGTATTGTGATATAAAAGAATGAGTAGATCTAATATCAAATAATACTCATGTATTTAATAAAAATATATCAAGTATACATGACACTACTGTATCAGATGACTAAACTTCTTGTCTAGTAATTAGAAAAACTATAACTTGTTCTTGCTCAATTTATGTTTGCACTCTACTAATAAAACTTCTACTTCCACGACCTCTCCCTTGCTAGTCTCCCCCTACACCTCTATTATCTTGGTGAAAATCACTTATAGAAAAATTCATTGTTATGTGTCTAATTTATTTGCTTATAACAGATACAAACCATATGATTTTTACTATAAAATTAGCAAAATAAAACTAATGATATATGTACCAAATCTATGACGCAGATTGCAATATTCTCTAACTATAATTATGTCAACCAAGACAACTAAACCCATCAAAAATACCACTTGGTTGATACCTCTACTACATTGATAGCCTAGAAAATATTGTCCTTAGTTCAAATTGGTAATTTGCGCTTCTTGATAACTCTTCAATCAAGCTTTCTTGGTTTGATCATTGGACATTCTCCTTTTAAATTGTCTAGTTTTAATAACTCTTGCATAATCAATTGCAATTATGTAAAATATAAAACCATGAGGCACAATTAGTTGAAACAATTACTCATTTAATCTTTAAACAAATTTTTTCACTCTTATCATCTCTATAGAAATAAGTTTACAATTATATTTAAATAATCTAATGAATTGCATTTCATATTTAAAAAACTATCATATCTTATTGCCTCAAACTCTTAAAGGCTTATGTTTTCTAATCTTTACACTTTCATAGAGAAATTGATCAAGAAACATCATTAAATGCTTCTCGTGTTCATGCAAGTGTCTCATTTTTCTTGGGCTAATATCATGACAACACCACATCTCTTTTCAATAATAAAGATGTCTAAAGAAAAATATGATAAGATGTAAATCCTAATGCCTCACACCTCTTCCATATCTCATCCAAAAATCATTAAGGGTCCTCTAAAAAATCAACATCATATCTCATCCAAAAATCATTAAAGGTCCTCTAACAAATCAATACCATTAAAGCTGAAAGTTTTCATTTGAGAAAATTGATCGATTCATTATTTTGAACTTACTAAGGAATAAAATGCATTATTTGGTCCTTTTATCTTTTCTATTCAATAACAATATTAACTATTTTTACACTACTTGAGTTACCTTGTATAATCTTTGAACTAATATATTTATTAAAATATCGCCACTAGAATTACCTTATATAGTCTTTATATTAAAACATTTATTGAAATACTGCTACTAGAGTTTGCTTCTTGCTCCTTATCTTTATTCCCTTTAATTGGGTCATTCTCTTAACCTTCCACTTCAATTTCTTGTGCAACTTTCTTTTTTACTTTTAACCTTTGGTTCTATCTTGAAAAAGATCAGTGAATATACCATCATTCAATTGAGAAACACCCCCTCAACAAATATCAGCTACTCTCATCAAATATTTACATCATATTTTCTTCAATAAACTCAACAACATCTTATCTCCGATCAGCCTTCACTATATTTTCATATTCTAGGTTGATCGGATTGTCATTTTCAAACAAATAAATATAAAGTTACAAACCTAAAAATGAGCAAGAATGGATCTAAATAAAAGATATGTTTCTTCTTTACCAAGATTGGCTAGTCTTCGATGATGTTTACATCGGAGTTTCTCTTATAAAGCCTTAAAAATGACTAACTTAGTCATCAATGCCTGTGATACTTATTTTGCAAAACCACTAATCTTTTTCATGTGTTCACACTTCAAGCCTTCTTAGTGGATTTTTATCAAAGATTAAACTTGTTCTCTTGAGATTAAAAGCCCAAAAATAGGCTCTTTGGTCTTCAAGTTTAGAAAAACCACCAAAATCTTCAAAAACTAAGTTTGTTCTAAAACTAGTATAGGTACAAAACTCACAACTCAACGTACCCAAAACTCTCTCACTTTTATCAAAGGACGAAGCTTTAATTAATAAGGATCAATCTTTGATTAAATCCATAAAAATCCAAAGTTGAAACCTTATATATAGCCTTTAAAAATCAACTAAAAAAAGAAGAAAAATGGGAGGAAAATATTGATAATGAAATCTTATATGTGAAGGTTCAAGAGCCTAGCACCAAGTTTCCTCAACTTTGAGAGAAAGTATCGATCTTGAAAAAGAAAGGACAACAATCATTGTTAGATCTTGGAAGGTATAAAATATTCACTTAGTCTAGTAGATGATGTTCATGTGACACATTTCTATCTTGTTTATACATGTTTAATGATGTTTCCAAGCATTTTGTTATCACATTAATTGTGGTTTTGATTTTGATTAGTGCATAAATTGTTGTCATTATTGTTTAAATCTTGCTTGAAGTTGTTATTAATGCTACTAAATGCCAAAATAATATATTTGTAACTGATTTTGATAAAATAAATTGTTTTTATATTTTATTAAATATAACAGTAGGTATTTGATGTCTTTTTAAGGTTTGTTGATGCATGTTATGGGTTTCCAAGTTTTGGTTAAGTTCTTTTGATTGTCAAGATGTCAATTTTAAATTCATATTGTTGAATATAAAGGCTATTTTAAGTTGGCGGTTTCGAAGTTTGAAACTTCTTGTATAATTTTGATGTTTTAGTTTTTTTATTCAAACATGTTTGGTTACGATAATGTGATTTGTGAGGACTAAAAGTAATTGTTTAGAGGCCTAAAATGCTAGTTTTGAAGGTTTGACAGTGGCTGGGTTTTTTAAGGTGGTCTTCTTCGTGTTCTTGAAAAGAACATTAACTTAGCTTTATGGTTTAAATTAGTTTTGGTCCATTTCTTTGCATTAAATACTTTATTGGACTTATTATTAATTATCCGGGCTTTATTTGCATCAATAACAAGTGTTTTTTAGTTTTAATCACAGGGTTTTGATTCAAAACTAAAATTTTTTTTGATAAAATAGTGTCGGGTCTTTGATAATCGAAGAGAATGAATGTCATATTTTAATTGTATCTGGTCTGATTTGAGAACCACATTGTTGGGTTTGCCTTGGATATACTTCGTGGTCTTGAGTTTTCTACGTTTAATCTGTTTTATATTTATTTCATGTGTTTGTGTTTTTTTTTTTTTAAGTTTGATTCATTTTAAGTTTTAGTTTCTATTTTGGATTGGTTTTCAAGTTAAACCAGTGCTTCTAGTTTGGTTTATAATCAAACAAAAAATTTTAAGTTAACATAGTCGGGTCAACATCAGGTAAAAAAGTTCAAACTCTATTTTATTTGTAATGTTTTTGCTAAAGGTTTTCTTGGGTTTAAGGGTGTATTTGATAAACACCCCCTTAGAACTACTTTTATAATTTTGATTTTTTAAAAAATGATTTTTTCTAAACAAAACCTAAATAAAATAATATATTTATTTTCTTGCATATGAAAAAAAAAAATCCTTCAAATTATCGAAATATTTTTTTAAAAAAAAAATCTAAAATACTTTTCCATGTTTTTAAAAAATGTTACTTTTACAACAAATTTATAAAATTCCAAAAAAAATTGACTTATATTTTAAAAATATTAAAAATTTATTTTTATCAAAAATATATATCAGTATACATAAAAAGGTACAAAATTTCAAAAATATATTATGGTCAGTTACACCAAATTTTATCAACAAATACATCATCTACATGTCATCACGTGTATACAACAAATACATCATTTGCAGAAAAACAAATTTTATCAACAAATACATCATCTACATGTCATCACGTGTATACAACAAATACATCATTTGCAGAAAAATTATGTATATTTATAAAAAAAAAAAAAACATTTGGTTTGAAGAGAAATTACAGGGAAAAAAAAAGGTTAAAAAATGAATGCATGAAGAGGTGCCCGTATATGCATGTGACACCACAACTAAGACTGGGTTTTCTCATCTACTGAGAATCCAGCATTAGTTCTTCAGCTCCTACTTGATCCAAAAATCCAACCTTCTAGCATGATTACGATGCAAATAAGTTAGGGGATTTCCCAAGCTCGAGGCTCTCATTATGCTTCTCCTGTGCCTGAGGAATTGAGTCAGTTGACAGAGCTTGAGGAGGGAGCCTGAAAAGATTACAGTATGTTCGCTTCCATAGCTGCTCGAGTCAAAATATTCTTCTGGATGATTTACAATTCGTCCCCACATTCAAGCAATTGGTTTGCTGCCTTAGCTTGATGAACATGCAGAAAGATGGAAACCTAATGGCAGTGAAGAAAATTGCAAAATTAGGCACATTCCGAGCATATAATTCAATCCTAAAGTAGTGGTGGCTTCTATTCCAATGAGCAGTTAGCCCACCTCCAAAACCTTGGTGACACCGAGAATAATGTCAAGCAGCACAGCGACAATTTCTGTAATCCCAGAAAATACATTTCGATGCAGGAGGTTCTGATTTACATGGATGTTTTAATCATTAGAGCATTGCATAGTAAGTCATCCGGTCACTCCAATTTTAAGTGACCTCCAATGTATTCACAGGTTAGTGTGGAGAAATTTAGGCCTGGCTATTTTGAGATTCGTGGAGAACTGACAAAACCCAATACCAAAAATATTGACCATCTTCCTCTGCTGCCTCATACCAGCACCAAGACGTAATATCAGAATTTTCTTATTAAAAAAATAATAAGAAGAACGTAGCTTTCAGTTTGAGCCTCCTCTGGTAATATACATAATTTTGAAATTCAGACATTTCGATTTCATGACAACATGGTAGTTAGCTCTGAGTTTATTCCTGGATAATGCTAGACTGCCAGTGATGAAGGATGAACCTGGTTGGAAGAATATTCTCTGGAGCATGAAGTTATCTTTTCCCTGACTTAAATTCAATAACTTCCAATCCTACTAAGACCAGGCATCTTCTCTGATCCATCAGTGGTTATATAATCTCTCATCTTCTCAACATCAACCCATCTCCCATCGCCAGCATATATGTTAGAAAGCATGACTCTGTAGGCACCCTTTTTGGGCTCGCTGTCAAAAAGCTGCTGGGCTACAATTTCTGCCAACTCAGAATCCCCATGAGCATCGCAGCATGACAACAATGCTCCCCAAATGCCAGAATCTACTGGTTGCTTCAAGGACAGGATAAAACTATATGCCTCGTCCAGCTCTCCTGCCATCCCAAGAAGCTTTACAATGTGAACATAATGCTCTGTTCTAGCTTGGATCCAAAACTCATCTTTCATTCTCCTGAAAATTTCCCTTCCATCTTTAACAAGGCCAGCGTGGCAGCAAGCACAAAGGAGAGCAGAGAAAGTAGACTCATCAGGTTTCAATCCTTTCTCTAGGATCTCCGTAAACATGTCAAAAGCTTGGGAAGCAAGTCCATGCAAGCCAAGACCTGAGATAATAGAATTGTATGAAACAATATTCCTGTATGGCATATTCTGAAAGACACGAAGCCCCAATCCCACAAAACCGCACTTTGAATACATATCTATTAGAGCAGAAGAAACCATGACATGTGATTCAAATCCATATCGAACTATATAACCATGTATCTGAACACCAGGCCCTACGTTTGCCAATTGAGCAATTGCCACCAATACACTAGCAATCAAAACAGAATCTGGCTTTTTACCCGCCAAATTCAGATTCTTGTAGAAAAGTAATGCCTTCTCATGTTCTCCAGCCTGAGAAAATCCAGTTATCAAAGCAGACCATGTTACTAAATCGGGCTGGCATAAACTTCTAAATACACTATATGCCAGATTGACGCATCTAAATCTCGAATACATGCTGACAAGCGAACTGCCTACATGATCATTACAATCAAAACCACTTTTCAAGCATAACGCATGAATTCCTTGGCCAAGCTCAAGCGAGCTAGAGTTTGCTAAACCCGAGATTAACGCAACATAGGTATAACCATCTGGCCTTTTATTCCCGTTGTCTCTCATTTCATTAAAAAAAAGCAACCCTTTATCACCAAATCCACAATAACCACAGCCAGAAATCATAGCATTCCACAGAACCAAATCTGGTTCAAAAACCCCACAAAACACCTTGCTTGCTTCACCAACAAGACCCATTTTTGAGTAACCTGTAACTAATGCACTGCAAGTAACCGAATCCAATCCCAGACCGGAAATAATCACTCCTCCGTGAACAATTCTCAACCCATCCACATAAAAATCCTCACAACATGCTCGTATAAGACACGCATAAGTATACTTATCTGGTATTACATCAAATCCAATCATCTTTGTGTACAGCAAGAATGCATCACCAAATTTATGAGCTTGTGCATAAGCTCTGATGATGGAATTCCATAAGAAAACACTGCGTTGAGGAGTTTTATCAAACAGGTTACGAGCAGAGAAGAGGTCATTGTTTAAAGCATAGAATCTTACAAGTTTTGTTGCATAAAATGGGTCTTGTAAGAGGTGGGTTTTGGTTACTAAAGCATGTAATTGTTTGGTTCTTGATAGTGTTTGATGGGCTTTTGAAAGTTGTAAGAAAAGTGACTGAAATTTAATCGACATTTATGAAACTTTTGTGTGGTCAAGTCCCCATTTTTGTCAAAAATCGACAAAAAAAAAATGAAGATGTTCTGGTATATCTTGTGAGAGTAACATCGTTTGAAGAAGGAACTGAAAAGAAACAGGATTGACTGCTTGGTGTGACTGACACTATTTTTTATCACCTCGAAATTTTAAGGTAGTAAGGCGACGCTGCCCACATTAACTGTCGTCTACAAAAAAAAAAAAAAAAAAATTAAATTTTAAAAAATCTTTGTGTCATTAGTCCCTTCTTTCAACAGTGACAGAAATGTTGAGGACTGCACTTCCTAGTAGTCATGGAGGGATTTGTTCTCTTTTTCCGGTATTTGAGTTTGATTTTTTTTTATGCATAATTCTCGTGATGTTTTATTTATCATGTAAGATGTTTAATAAATTTAAAAATTAATAGTAGTATCTATAAACTGACTCGGACGCTCTAAGTTAAAAAACAAAAAAATGTTAAGGACTCACCTTAACAAACAGTTGTTTAGAAAGAAATTCGGGGCAGAAAAAGAAATTAGAGAGGAGAAGAGTTATACAAGTTCTGCAATTTCTGTTGTATTATTTCTTGAATGATCAGCTTCCTATACAATAATCGTTTTATACATCAATACAGCTGATTAACTACTCTTGTTTCTGGTATTGCCTAACCTTCTGTTGTTGCTTCCTTCTTTCTGCACAATGATCAACTGACTCTCTCATCAATCCTTGGCTGGTAACAGGAAATCAATTAAAAGAAATTCTTTAGAATCTATTTCCCTTAACAGACATGTTTTTCCTGAAAGTATCGTTCCTTTGTGTTCTAGGACAGAAATCAAGAGCGAGAGAGAGTGAAGTTGATCCGATCTTAGGGTTGTCGATTTCACCTGGACTCACAAACACTAAAGTTACCCAATTTATCAATTTTATGCATCTTTTAAGTAGATAATCCTTGTAGTCGATGGAAAATATTTTTCTCACATTCTTTGATCTTAAAAAGAGATGATAGTGCTAGGGACAATTTCACTCTTAACACATAAGATAGATCCAAATCTTCTTTTATAATAGCAAACATGCAACCCTAGTGATTATTTCTCCCCACAAAATTGTTGAAATCTTCCCATGTCATCCTGTTCGTAAGTGATTTATCTAGTTACATTTTGATAGTAAATAAAGTGACATTTTGCCATCGAAAAGCATTTCATGATTCTTTGAGAATCACCAAGCGTTTGTAGAGGTTTCAATCTTGACACATTGCAAACCAATGAACCGGTCCCTTGCAGACATTTGGTTGGTAAAGCGTTTGTCACTTCTCACAATCTATTGTTTTCCAGAACAAGATAATGTTGTCTGACAATTCAAACAAGACTCTTTTTCCCTGAATGTAATGAAATGTCCTGAAAGTATCGGTCCTTGGACAAATGCTCCCCGTCACAATACATACTACGGTGATCACTGAACATGGATGGGGAAACTTGTTAGAGATAAATTAAAGATCATATAGTTGGCTTTAAAGCTTTGGGCTATCAGTATCATGTCTATAGCAAGATGCCTAAGGAGTGCTCCTTCATAAGAAAGTTTGGACAAACACTCGAATGATCTTTAAGCTTTTTTGCATTTTTCCCCCCCTACAGAACGATACCGTCATTTCTTCTCCAATTTTCCACAGAACAAATGCAAGGACAGAAGGCAAAGCACATAGAGAAATATAAGCGTTGTTTCGTACAGGAATAAACACAAATACCATAACAGCATTCAAGCACTGTCCGGCAGGCGCACTAAAGACTAAGGGGTCTCCACATATCAACATAGCAACTCAAAGACCTGGGAAGCACCTTCTTCCAAGCATCAAGATCCGGCAATTTACCGGTGAGAGCGAGCGAGCTATCGTCCTTTCGATTCCCGAGATTCAATACAGAAAGCCTATCACCGAAAACCTGGTGCATTGCCTTCAAAGTATCTTCCATAACCACCTTACCATCCCTTCTTTTATCCTCAGCCTCCACACAACTACCCCCAACATTCACCATGATTCGCCCGCCTTTCCTCAAACTCTTCCTTAATTTCTCCCAAGTGTTTGGATCTTGGAGTTCAGGTATCAAGCTTCCTTTACAAAACAAATCAACAAGAATCCCTGAGAACCCATCTTTAACTTTAGCAGATAATGCATTTCCAACGTAAATAAAAAGCCTATCGGGGTATTGTTTTTCCAGCTTTTTGAGACCAAAAAACTCTCTTCCAACATCAATCACTGATGAGTCAAGCTCCCATCCATGGACCACCACTCCTGGATACAATTCTAGCAGCAAACGAGCTGTGGAACCTGCTCCGAATCCGAGAATGGCAATGGGTCCAGGGGGTATGATGGGGGGCAAAGCAGCGAAAACGTCGAAATAAGTGTTGGTTAGTGACTTGAAGAGGAAGGAAATGCTGTGAATGTTTCCAGGAGCATCTAAGAGGAGGAGTCTAGAACCAGCAAAAGGGTGATCAGCTTTTCGAGAGATTTCGAGGACGCGAATGTAGTTGTGTCTAGACTTGAATTTGGCTATGATTCTGACGTCTTCAATGGGGATGCCATCCTCTTGAGTCCTGGTTTGGGGGGTGAAATCGTGGTGGGTTTCTTGAGATTTGGATTTTATTTGGAGAGGTTTTGAAAGGGTTTTGGAGGAGAGTTTGATGATTGTACGGTAGGTATGGTGGGATATTTGAATTGGGAAGGGGATAAACGGTCGAATTTGAAGAGCTGTTAGAGACATTTGCTCTGTCTCTTCGCTTTCTTTCTGGTTAATGGCTCCTATTAGTGGCTAGTGGCAGCGAAGCGAAGATTTATTACAAGGCGATGACATGAGAACAAAAGGATATGGACAACGGTGTCGTTTCATGCACATAGATGCTCCACTGAATAATAACATTACCATTGCTTTCTTTGTTCGTGAAAATTTTGGAACAAGGCTGTTTGTTACTGGTATGCTTGCTTGACCACCTTGCCACACCGCTAACCCACGGTCAAAACGTTATTGCTAAGCCCATAAAAATAATCACGGAGGGCCTTGCAGACCTTTTCCTTTTGGGGAATTCTACACCGAGGGTATAATTAACTAATTCTTCAACCGAGATCATGGGAAATGAAGATCAGAGGATTAAAAAACAGAGACATCCTTGACCACTTGACTTGTTCATTGGGGTTGGTAATAACATGAACGGCCGAAAGAACAAAAACCTAGAACCTCTTTAGCATCGCAGTAAAAAGCTCCGAATAAATCATGGCTTACCACTTACAGTGAGCGAGCCACCAATACAAAGGAAATGTGTTGCCATGTTGCTCGCATAATTACTACAATTCCTTCATTACATGACATGACCTAAGATACAAATTCAAGGAGTGCTTAGCCACCATTGCTTCGCCCCTGTCAGTTGCGACCAATTAAACTTTACTGCATCATGTGTATGTTACATTAGGCATGAGAACATGGCCCAGGTCGGTCCAAAGTCTAACTTTATCTTGCTTGCCCAGTATAGAGAAAAAGAACAATCCTATCAATTATGTTTGGCATGGTCTGAGCTCCACATACAAGTGTGTAAATTATGCTAGGTTATCAACCACAACTAATTGTACAACACAGTAATTCAACAAAAAGACTTTGCAAAACGAGGAAATATTACCATTTGCCTATTCTAATGATATTTGTCCAAGGTATCTATATGGTTGGTGGTCCAAACATAAAATCCTTTGCTACGCTTTGGGGGATGGACTGAAACTAGAAGATAACTGATCTCCGTGCATCACAACCCTGGATGCTCTTTCTTGTCTTCTTCCATCGTATCCACACCATCCCTGCATTAAGATTCAGAAATTTCCATATCAGACGGAGTACGCATGTACCAATTCACTTTGGAAATACTACGAGTGATGTCTCTCAGGGTCTTCCTTTATCTCAAGTAATCAAAGCATCTAAAAGCAACAGAGAAAAATTTAACAAACATGACAAGCAGCTGTCATATAATTCCCACTCTTGGACTCAGTTGTCGTCACATTGTATGCATGACTCTTACAAACTCCCAGTGAAAGACAAGGACAGACAGACAGAAAGAAAGAAACTTGCATAAGAACAACTAATGAACTTCCTCCCGTATTCTACCACCAAGGTACAAATAGGTGAAGTGTGAAGCTTTGAGCAGCCTCAGCTATCTGCAGATAAAGTCCAAGGGGAAGAGCACCAGAACCGTCTTCCGGAAGTCATTTGACAAGTTCAGTTCAGTTCAGTTCATCAGACAATTAAAAGTTCTTACCTTGTCTTATTATTTGGCTGTGCATCAGCATTGAAAAATCTAGGTTCAGGTTTCTCATCTTCATCATGATCAGACTCAAAATCCTCACCATTCCATATGCGACGCTTTGGTCTTTGATCCATGTCCTCTTCAGCCTGCATCCAACGAGCTCATAAAGAAAAGAGATGTAATCAAAAAGTTATGACAATCCAACCATATCAAGAAAATTTTTCCACTGCCTACTGACCTCTTCCGGAACTTCAGTTGTGGGTGGTGTTGTTTGAAAAGGTACACTGGGAGCATTAGGCAGTCGAGAAAGTTGCTCTAGCAGGATGTTCCTGAACAAGTTGCAAGTCACACAATTGTACAAGCAGACATAATTACATCAAAGATGGAAGGACACATAACGGATGCATGTACAAAACATTTGTAAAGCTATTTTTATCTACAAC